CACATAATGTCTGGTTACCTACCACTGTGAAACACATTATCCTAAAATGAAAGCTAGTTGATTGTATCTTATACTTTGTAGGTTGGGAATTCTTACAGGGCTCCTTGGCTTATGCTCATGCTCACTGAGATACCCATTTAGTGATTGGACTAGTTTGGGAGTTTTCAGACACATGCTAAGACACTACTAGAAAGACCTAGAAAGTTAGACTTAGCTGGGCCCTCTTGTTCTCCATGTAGTCTCAGTGCCTTTCCAAGTTTCCCCACCAGGAGAGTAGTCGAGAATTCCCATGTGGCAGTTGATTCTCAGAGTAATGCTAAGAAATTTGGCAGAAATTCTAAAGCCGCCCCTGACCTAACTTTTGAAGTCCCACCTCAGTTCTACTGTGTTCTGTCAGTTACGCAAACTACTTAAGGCCAGACCATATTAAAAGGGAGGGGAAATAGATTTGATCTTTAACCATTTAAAGCATTGAATTACAGCTCTCTTTTCCCCATTCATTTGTTTGTTTGTGTTTTTTCAACACAGGGTTTCTCTGTGTAACAGTCCTGGCTGTCCTGGAACTCACTCTGTAGACCAGGCTGGTCTTGAACTCACACAGATCCACCTGCCTCTGTCTCCCAAGTGCTTGGATTAAAGGTGTACACAACTATCACCTGGCATTCCCCATTCATTTTTGGTAATGTACTCTATTGCCAGTCAGTGCTAAATCTGTTGTTTTTGGTATGATGGTCTACAATAATTGTGCATTTAAAAATTAAAAATTCAGCCGGGCGGTGGTGGCGCACGCCTTTTATCCCAGCACTCGGGAGGCAGAGCCAGGCGGATCTCTGTGAGTTCGAGGCCAGCCTGGGCTACCAAGTGAGTTCCAGGAAAGGCGCAAAGCTACACAGAGAAACCCTGTCTCGAAAAACCAAAAAACAAAACAAAACAAAAAAAAAAAAATTAAAAATTCTAGTTGCTAGAATACTTGTATGAAGGGATCCTTTCCTTCTCTGCTTCCCTATGTACCACCACACCAGCTTTGAACTTGACTCTGGGGATAGAACTCAGGTCCTCTTGCTTGCACTTTACTGACAGTGCCATCTCCCTAGCCCCTCTCTTTCTTTCTTCCCTCTTTTGTTTGGTGGCAGGAGGGCACTGGGGGGTTGAACACTCACCACTGAGCTACACTCCTGGTTTTTGCCTGAAGTTCTTCTGTATTACATCTGTAATTTCTTCTGTTCTAAATTTTGGATTGACAAGCCATAGAGGGTAGTAGAATTAAAATAGTCCACTTTCAGTTGCTTTATTTCATGTTAACTTTTTTTAAAATTTTATTTATTCATTTATTTATTTTTGTTTTTTGAGGCGGTTTCTCTGTGTAGCTTTGTGCCTTTCCTGGAACTCACTCTGTAGACCAGGCTGGCCTCGAACTCACAGAGATCCACCTGGCTCTGCCTCCTGAGTGCTAGGATTAAAGGTGTGCGCCACCACCGCCTGGCTCATGTTAACTTTTAATAGCCTTAGACTAATAGTACCAGTGCACATATAAGGACAGTTAAGCTTATTAACTTATTTACAGGATAGAGGAGCAAACCCAGGCCCTTGCACAGGAAATATAAGGGTGCTATCTCTGATATACACCCTGAACCCCGCACTCCCAGTTAAGTTTATTTTTGTATGCACTTGACTTTCTTCCTCGTTCTTGGATGGCTAGACTGTAGGCTGTCAGACAATGTGAATATTGCATAACCACTTCTCTTCCTTTGAATCTTCATTTGCTCTTTTGACCACCCACCAGTGTTGAAGCCTCACTTTAATTATTTGGTTACCTGAAGCTTGGCTTTTGAAAGTTGGTTAATTAGTTTACATGTATGTACATGGGTGTGAGTGTGGGTCGACCACCATTTGGAGGTCAGGAGAGCTGTCTGTCGTCGTGGATCCTGGATATTGAACTCTGTCAAGCTTGACAGCAGGCACCTTCAAACAGTAAACCATCTTGCCTGCTCAGTTCATTTTAAAAGAAAATATTTTTGTGTATATGTGTGCATGTGTGTCTGTGTGTGAGGGCTTAATTGTGCCTGCCACAGCACTCGTGGAGGCCAGAGGACAGGCTCTGCTGTGGGTCCTCACCTTTTACCTTGTTTGAAGCAGGGCCTCTCCAACTGTTTGCCACTGTGCTGTGTACTATAGGCTATCTGGCCTTGGAGCTTCCAGGGGATCCTCCTGGTTCCATCTCCCCATGTTGCAGCAGGAGTACAAGGTTACAGACACATGCATGGCGCTCTGGAGTTTATGTGGTTCTGGGGATCCAAACTCAGGCCATCAGTCAGATTTGTGGTGTAAGTGCTTCTACCCATTGAGCCTTCTCTCTGATCTGAAATTTCTTTCTATTTTGTTTCTTAAAGTACTGTTTAGGAAGGGCCCAGGGGACTATCTGTGAATTCTTGCATGGAACAGTCTGTGGCTTTTATAATGGAATTTAGTTTGACCAGATATAAAATATTTATAACATTTTCTTTATTAATATTTTCACCATGTCAAAATCCATTTTCTTCTAGTGTTTCAATAAAAAAGAAAAACAAAAAACCTCAATTGCTAAAAAGGAGAAATTTTTTCATTTTTTAAACTTGTATTGAATAGCAAAGACAGAGTTTACCACTGTATTAGAGAAGAAACCCACCACTTAATCCACTAATGGAAGACATGGATGTCTTAGCAGGCTATCTCCAAAGTTCTTCTGTGTTAAGTTTTCACTGATACAGTGTATTGCTTCTGTTTAAAGTATGGGAAAGAAAAATCCTTGCAAATCCATTACTCAATCATTTGAGTCTGACTACATATAACATAGTGTCAAATATCATAGGCAGTGATTTTCTGTCCAGCCATTTCATATAGAAGAAAGGTGTATGTGTAAACATGCCTACACATACACACACATACAAGTAAATGTTTAAAAAAAATCTTAGCTGCACATTTGATATTGCAAGACATAGAACACCTTCAGTGGTTTTCAGAACTGATCAGTATTTTGTTTTCGATTCCTAATGCTGAGACCTTTCTTCAGTTAAGCATATAATATAAAATGGCAGATGTTTAGGACATTCTGTCCTAATCGCAAGCTAAAATTAATTTAATGTTTAATGCCTTTTAAAATGAAACTCCTCAGCAACTCAAAACAGTAGGTTTTTTTTTTTTTTGGTTTTTCGAGATAGGGTTTCTCTGGTGCCCGTCCTGGATCTCACTCTGTAGACCAGGCTAGCCTCGAACTCATAGAGATCCGCCTGGCTCTACCTCCCGAGTGCTGGAATTAAAGGTATGCACCACCACTGCCTGGCTTCAAACAGAAATTTTTAAAAATTAAGCATTGTGACACAATACTGTCCAAAGTTACACTGATAATTCTTAGAATACGTGGTGAGAAGATACTTTGAAAATAATTGTCTTTGATTTCTTTAATTAAACTCAAATGTTTCTATGAGAGCAGAAAACTTTGTATGTATAGTAAAAAACACAATCCATGCCAGAATAATCTGAAGTCTTGCTGAGGTGTTTTGGGCAACACTCATTGGCACTGGGCGGCAGGAAGGTGTGCTTAGTGCTGTGTGCACACTGTGCTCAGAACAAAGGCTGCATGTAGTGAGGCTGTCTTCTCCAACACACCCGAATACTCCCCCAAACACCTGGGGCTCGCCAGTTGTGTAGTTTTAAATTAATTTTTGGTCACTGTGTGTTCAGAAACCTTTTACTGTTGCCAGTTGCTTTTTCTTGGGACCATCATGTTCACTTCCGTGATGCACAGTTTAAAAAGCCATGGACTTGGGACTGTGGCACATGCCTGTGATCCCAGCACTGAAGGAGATAGATAAGGAGTTCCAGGCTAGAAGAGAGAAGAGGAGGAGAAGAGAAGTGAGAGATAAAGGAAGGAAGAGAGAAAAAGAGAAGAAATTGAAGGGAAAATTTGAAAAAAAAAAAAAAAGAAGAAGGAATTGATTAGAAAAATGTATATGGTACTGGAGATGTTATTTGGTAGAGTACTTGCCTAGCACACACAAGGCCTTGGTTCAATCTCCAGCACTACTTAAACTGGGCGTGGTGTTGCATACCTGTAATTCCAATTCCCAGGAGCTAGGGACAGGCTGATCATCAGGTTATACTCCACTACATAACTTTGGATACATGTGTCTCAAACAAACAAACAAACAAAATCTTCGAAATCGGCACTGTTTCACAATTGAGACTGATCCCTTTTTTTCATTGTATTATTGCCAGTCTGTTACGAAGAGGCAGTTTGCATAATTGGATCAGAATTTGTCAATCTTTAGTCAGCTGTCTACTGTGTACTGCATGCTTTTACTCCCAGAGCTCTCCTTAAAATAGGACTCTTTATTATGACTAGCTATTAGTGACCAGATTTGTTGTTTTGTTCTTTTTTATTATTTTGATAGACAAGTTTATGTTTTTGAGAATTATTTAGTAGCATTGTCAAACTGTCTTTTCATAAGCATATCAGAAAATTTCACTTGAACCAAGGTATGTTTCCTGTTGTTTTATGAGGTACTAAAGTTTAAAAAGTATGCTCAATGAGACCAATATGGAATATATTTTTCTATTTATAGATATATTAAAAATTTTCCACACTCAGGTCTCAGAGTGAACAAAATATTTGAATAAGAGAAGAAACATTCAACTTAAAAATAGGGTTAGAAGCTTTAGAGTGATGTTTTAGTTTTAGTAGAAATTTCTGGTACATTTTCCTTTATAACTGCTGTATAGAATTGATTATTCTAATCTTCCAGATTCTGTCTTTTGATTCAGTTGATTAGGCCCTTAGGCCTTACTAGAATAAATCACAAAGTCTTAGGAAATACTTTTGTTGAAAAGGCCCTACAAACTGAAGTTAATTTGTCAAATCTTTTTTCCATTATATTTAGTCTAACTATATATGTTGAAATTATATGACTTTAAAATTACTTATAAAAATAATATACTTTAAGATATCTTTGATTTACTTTCAGGTTCATGCCTGGGAGATTTCTGATCAATTGTTACAGATCCGACAGGATGTGGAATCATGCTATTTTGCTGCCCAGACCATGAAAATGAAGATTCAGACCTCATTTTATGAGCTCCCCACAGACTCTCATGCTTCTTTAAGGGACTCATTGCTAACTCATATTCAGAACTTGAAAGACTTGTCACCTGTCATTGTGACACAGGTAAATCCTTTACTTACTAAGGAAATTTGTAGGGACATTTGGATGCGTCATAATTCAGTTTGCTTATCATTGATAGGCCGTGTAAGGTAATATTTGTTAACTTTATTGCTATATACTATATACAGCTGTAGCAGAATAAAAATTTTAATCTTTTGTATTAATCTTTGAGTTCATTAGGCTCAAACATTAAATATAGGAAGTGGGGCGGTGAGTGTCTGTTTTTTTCTAGCATGTTTTTCCTACTGTAAAAATGTCAGATGATTAAAAAAAAAATCTGGGGGCTGGAGAGATGGCTCAGAGGTTAAGAGCACTGTCTGCTCTTCCAGAGGTCCTGAGTTCAATTCCCAGCAACCACATGGTGGCTCACAACCATCTGTAGTGAGATCTGATGCCCTCTTCTGGCCTGCAGTCATACATGCTGTATACATAATAAATAAATAAATCTTTAAAAAAAAAAAATCTGTACTGTTTTGGGTTAGAGGTCTATGTAGTTAACTTTTATTTTTTATTAATTATTTTAAAAAATCATTTCAGGAAGGATTGGCTATAAGTCTTACAAATAAAACAATGGACATTTTGGCTTTCCCCTTTAGCCAGGGAAATATATTAGAAAATAAAGTACATACATGTGTTCTTTGCCTGACATAGGAGTGTTCCTGAAGAGGGGGCTTTTGGATGAGGCCTCAGGAAAGAGAAGGGAAATGGCAATCCATTACTTAGGGACATAGCCACAGGTCTAATTTTGTCAGTAGCTTTGGTCTTTTGGAAAACTATAATTTAGCTGTCCATGAAGTTCTGTGGTATTACCAAATAAAAGTAAGTATTGGCTATGCAGTGGTGGCACACAACTATAATTCCAGCGCTTGGGAGGCAGAGGCAGGTGAACCTCTGAGTTTGAGGCTAGCCTGATCTACAAAGATAGTTCCAGGACAGCCAGGGCTGTTACACAGAGAAACCTTGTCTTGGGTTTTTAAAAAAAAAAAAAGTTTGTATTAATATAGTCCAAGGAAATCTGTATCTATATTTTTAAATATATTTTGATGTGGGCTTTTTTTTGTTGTTGTTTTTGTTTTTGTTTTCAAGACAGGGTTTTTTTGTGTAGCATTGGCTATCCTGGAACTTGCTCTGTAGACCAGGCTGGCCTTGAACTCAAAGAGATCTGCCTGCCTCTGCCTCCTGAGTGCTGAGATCAAAGGCATGTGCCACCACCGCCTGGCATTTAATTTATTTTTAATGTTTTATGTTTGATGTTTTTAAGATGAGCATAGTGGTTTAAACCTGTAATAGCAGCTCTTGGGAGGTGAAGAAAGGAGAATCGGGAGTTCGAGGACAACCTCTGCTACACAGTGGGTTTGGGGGTGGTCTGAACTAGATGAATTACTGTCTCAGAAACAACAATGAAGAAAATATTTTCTATCAAGTGTATTTTGTTGATTCTTTTGGTTTTATCTTTAGTTTCTAAGGTTGATCTTTAAATCCAAGCGATTTGTGGCTAAGTAGATGAATGGATAGGTAGATATTCATGGGGAAGGAATGGAAGGGATGCTAGTCTTCTCTGTCATATTGTTTAAAAGAAATATGGTCTCTGCTTTCTCTTAGCATCGATGGTTTCTGTTTATCTGGTCTATTCATTTATTTAATCTCTCTTCCCATTCAGCTGGCTTTAGCAATAGCAGACCTTGCCCTACAGATGCCTTCTTGGAAAGGATGTGTACAAACATTGGTAGAAAAGTAAGTAATTTATAATTTGTATCAGTAGTATATTAGCATTGGGATTACCATTAATAAACACAGAAAAATCTGTTCTAGTAACTAGACACTTGATTATTTCCTGAATTATGGACATAAAATTACGTTTTTTCTGTTTTGCTTTTTTGAGACAGGACTCTGTGTAACAGTTCTGGCTATCCTGGAACTCTCAGTGTAGACCAAGCTGGCCTTGATTTCAGAGATCTGCCTGCCTCTGCCTCCTAAAAGCTGGAATTAAAGACATGCACATTCACCAGGTTTAAAAAATATTTTTAAAAATTTAATTATGTATAGGTATGTGTATCTGCTTGTGGGTATGTGTACATGAGTGCAAATGCCCACAGAGCCCAGATGAATCCTATCCTCTGGAGCTGGAGTTACAGATGGTTGTGAGCTACCTGATATGGATGCTGGGAACTGAATTTCAGTCCTCTGGTAGTGTAACAAGTGCTCCTACCCACTAAAACATCTATTTCTCCATTCCCAAATGACATAGTTTTTATTTCTCTTCCAAAGTTGTTTGTTTGTTTGTGTATTGTGGGTGTGCGTGCCATGCCACGTCACTCGTGTCAAGTTCAGAGGACGACTTGAAGGAGTTGGTCTCCACCATGTGGGTTTTGTGTATTGAACTCAGGTTACCAGGCTTGGTGACAAGCACCCTTACATACTGCAATATTGCCAGCCCCTGAATTATGTATTACTAACTTTCTCATTAAAGTAAATTTCGGGGCTGGGCATGGTTGAGGCATGCCTTTAATCCCAGCAATCAGGAGACAGAGGCAGGCAAAATCTCTATGAGTTCAAGGTTAGCCTGGTCTGCATATTGAGTTCCAGTCCTGTCAAGGCTATATTATCTCTAAATAAATGAATATGTACAATGATCTTATTCTTTATAGTGTAAATTCACAAATCACATATGACAAAGAACTCATGAAATTGTTGGTTATCTTCTAAATTGAGTCATTATGATTGCTTGGCCAGACCTGCAAAGTCAGGAAGATACTGGTGTTGAAAACTGGAGGCTAATGATAATACAGAATTTAGCTAAGTTAGCAAAATATTTGATCATATTTGTATGTTTGTGTGTGCATTCATGCGTGTAATGTTTTAAAATGAACTAAAACTGGGGGCTGGAGGGATGGCTTGATGGTTAAGAGCACATACTAACCTGAGTTAAATTCTCAGCACAGGATCAGGCAACTTACAACTGCTTGTAACTCCAGCTCCAGGGGAATCTGACACTCTGACCTCTGTGGGCACTTGCATTTATGTGCAAATACCCCTTCCCTATACACATAATAAAAATAAATCTTTTTTGTTTGTATGTTTTTTGAGATAGAGTTTCTTTGTGTAATAGCCCTGGGTGTCCTGGATCTTGACTTGTAGATCAGCCTTGCCTCGAACTCACAAAGATCCACCTGTCTCTTCCTCCTGAGTGCTGGGATTAAAGGCTTGCACCACCACCACTGAGCTCTTTCCCTTTTAATATAGGGAATGCTGCTCTTTTGTTGTTGTGTGATATTCTGATGAGTGGTGTTGTGATTGTGTATTTGTTGGCTATCAGTGACTCATTATATATCCTTCCTCTTCTTTTCCAGGTATAGCAATGATGTAACTTCTTTGCCTTTTTTGCTGGAGATCCTTACAGTGTTACCTGAAGAAGTACATAGTCGTTCCTTGCGAATTGGAGCCAACAGGCGCACAGAAATTATAGAAGACTTGGCCTTCTATTCTAGTACAGTGGTATCTTTATTGGTAAGTTTGAAATACTCATTTGTTGAGGAAACCATGGTGTGGTTATTTTGTGACCTGGTCGCAATGGTATGAAGCAGCTTTCTTTATAAATGTGGCAGTGATACTGCTTTGGCATTTATATAAAACTTTTATAATAATACAAAATACTTTTGACATCTGTACTTCTTGAGCTTCTTTGTAATGTGTGTGAGGGTGATATCTCTGCATGTGAATGCAAATGGGCTTGGTGTTATTTAACTGTTAACTTAGAACTTGAACTCAATTCTTATGATACATAAAAGCCATTGCATCTTGATAAAGGACCACACTAAAGGAAGTGCATAAAAACTTAAGATAAAGACAAATTAACTTTTTGGTAAAGAAATATTAGGAGACTTTACTTGGCCATTGGTCAATATTATAATTAAACATTAGCTAATGCCAGAGTTAGAATTTTTAGTAGTTTAGACCAGGAATGGGTAAATTTGTTGTTTATGAGCTGGTAGCATACATATGAGTCTTATTGAACACAGCTGGATTCTTTAGGTTCATGTTGTCTATGTATATTACTTTAGACTGTCTTAGTAGAACTGAGTAGTTTTCAGAGACCATGTGGCCTGCAAAGCCTGAAATATTTATTGTCTGGTCCTTACCTTAAAATGTCTACTAGTTCCTGAACTAGATTGTATTAAATTAATTACCTAACCTATCTTATTTTTAGGTCTTTTTTTTTCCTCTCTCAGTGCTGGAGATTGAACCCAAGGCCTGCTACATGGTAGACAACAATCTGTCATAGAACTATAGCCCCAACTTAGCTTATTTTTAGATTTCTACTGTCTAGCTTTATTTCTCAACAATGTGGCTATTTTTCAAGGATTTGTTTTAGTACTTCTGCAATATCATACATCAAACAAAACAAAGTTATGTTTGAAAAAATAAAACTTTGTTTGTAGTTATATTCAATTTGGTGTTAAAACCTATTTGGAACATAAATATCTTTAATTTTTTTTAAATTGGCCATTTATTTTTAAAGAAAATAATATTGTAGAACATTAGAAAAAAATAAAGCAATTATAACTTGGAAATCATATCCTGTGTCTGATTGTTTTAATTTGTGGTGTTTGGGATTAAATTCAGGGCCTCATGCATACTAGAAGTGCTCTACCACTGAATTGCAACCACAATTCTCTTTTGTATGTTTTATTTTTAATTTCTTAAAATCACATGTATTTATTGTGGGGAGGGGAACACACATCGCTGTGTGCCCTTGGATCTGTGTAGAGGTCAGAGGACAGTTTGCCCAAGTTGGTTTTCTCCTACCATGTGGGTCCCGGGGATCAGGCCATTAGTCTTAGAGCATGCATTTTTTTTTTTTGTTTGTTTTTGTTTTTGTTTTGTTTTTCAAGATAGGATTTCTCTGTTTAACAGCTCTGGCTGTCCTGGAAGTCTCTCTACAGACCAAGCTGGCCTCAAACTTACAGAAATCCCCTGCCTCTGCCTCTGAGATTAAAGGAGTACGCCACACCACCTGGCTTATAGCATGCATCTTTAAGATACCGAGCAAGCCATGTTTTTAAAGGGTCTCATGTATCCTAAGTTGGCCTCAAACTTGCTTCATATCAAGTTTCATAACTTCATAGCTGAGGATGACCTGAACTTCTACCTCCCTGGTTCTGCGCTCCCTTCTACCTGACTCTGGTTCTGCGCTCTCTTCTACCTGACTCTATCTCCTAAATGCAGTATTATAGGTGTGTGCCACCACATTTGTCCCTCAGTTTTTCTTAAAGGTTTTTTTTTTAATTTTTTAATTTTTTTTCCCCCGGAGTTGAGGACCGAACCCAGGACCTTGCGCTTGCTAGGCAAGTGCTCTACCACTGAGCTAAATCCCCAACCCCAAAGTTTTTGTTTTTGTTTTTCGAGACAGGGTTTCTCTGTGTAGCTTTGCGCCTTTCCTAGAACTCACTCTGTAGACCAGGCTGGCCTCGAACTTACAGAGATCCACCTACCTCTGCCTCCCGAGTGCTGGGATTAAAGGCGTGTGCCACCACCGCCCAGCGGTTTTTATTTTTCTTTATGTTTCTTTTTTTTTTTTTTTTTTTTTTTTTTTTTTGGTTTTTCGAGACAGGGTTTCTTTGTGTAGCTTTGCGCCTTTCCTGGAACTCACTTGGTAGCCCAGGCTGGCCTCGAACTCACAGAGATCCGCCTGGCTCTGCCTCCCGAGTGCTGGGATTAAAGGCGTGCGCCACCACCGCCCGGCCTTCTTTATGTTTCTATGTCAGTGTCTGCCATGTGTGTGCAGGTGCCAATGGAGTCGGAAAATGGCGTCCGTTCCCTTGGAGCTAGAGTTCATGGGCCACTCAATGTGGGCTCTGGTATCTGTACTCTGGTTCTTTGGAAGAGCAGCAACGGCTCTTAACTTCAGTCTTGAGCATTTTTCTTCAGCCCCCAGCCTTTTGGGTTGTTTGTGAGATGTGCTTTTATAGAGCTGTGGACTCAAGTTTCCTGCTTTAGCTTCCTGAGTAGTTGAGACTGTGGGTATACCAGTGCACTGACTACTGTTGACCCTTTAACATATGTCCTGTGAACAATGTGTATCTCTATGTGATTATAGTTTTCTGTTTCAGTCATCTAGCTTTATTTTTTTCATTTTAGAAAATTTCCTATGTAATATCATTGCATGTAATGAATTTTCTACTGTATTAATACTGCAACTACTTATATTCTATCCTTAGGATAATTGAGAAAATAGTCACTTGGATCCTCTTCTCCAGGGTTTAATTTGTTTTCCTTTAGCATGCTGATAGAAACTACGAGACTTTGATGGAGTTAAGAACATTTTTTCGAAGTTTTCCATCATAGGCCTCTCCAGTTCTTTCATGCTGCATCTTACCCATATTATGATGTCTGATTGAGACTTCATTAGTAATGGTAGGATTACCCACTGGATTAGGGTGATGACAGTCTCGTTCTTCTATGTCTAGTGTGCTTTTTTTGCAGTGTAATTTGTGTGAAGGTAGCTTATTTTATGAAAATCTAATTTTAAAAAATGTATTTATTTTTGAAACAGGATCTCACTGTGTATCTCTGGCTGGCTTCAGACCCCCTGGAACTGGAGTTATAGACAGTTGTGAGCTGCTGTGTGGGTGCTGGGAATTGAACCAGGATCCTCTGGAAGAGCAGCCAGTGCCCTCAGTCACTGGCCATCCCTCCAGCCTGGATCATAGGTCCTGGAGACTTGTGACGTTTGAGTGCTTGCTGTGCCCTGTTAAGAGGATGGTTAACTCTTCTGCCTCAGTTTCACCATCTGTATGTGGAGAGTAATAGGATCTGTTTCATTTTAACTGCATAACTGTGCTAATGCAGTTAAAGCTATTAAAATCATATTTAGCACATAATAGGTTTCAGTAAATGTTACGGCTGGCCACTTATTTGTTTGTTATATGCTCCTTTGGCTGTAATGCAATGCCCATGAAGAAATGGAAAAATATAAGCAAGCTGTTTATATACTTGCATTAGCCTTTCTGTCTCCCGTTTGCCATCTTAGAGGGAAAGATTATTTTTTTTTTTTTTTTTTTTTTTTTTTTTTTGGTTTTTCGAGACAGGGTTTCTCTGTGTAGCTTTGCGCCTTTTCCTGGAACTCACTTGGTAGCCCAGGCTGGCCTCGAACTCACAGAGATCCGCCTGGCTCTGCCTCCCGAGTGCTGGGATTAAAGGCGTGCGCCACCACCGCCCGGCGGGAAAGATTAATTTTAAAATGAATGTTTTTGCCAAGTATGGCAGGACACACCTGTAATCCTAACACTTAGGAGGCTAAAGGAGAGGATAATGAGTTTGAGTCCAGCCTGGGCCAAATAGCAAGATATTGTCTCAAAAAAATCTTAATCTCTCAATATTGTTCTCTGGGAATGAAGTATAAAAATTGATTTTTTTCTTAAACTATATTTTCTATTTAGATGACATGTGTAGAAAAAGCGGGAACTGATGAGAAGATGCTTATGAAGGTCTTCCGCTGTTTGGGAAGCTGGTTTAACTTGGGAGTTTTGGACAGTAACTTCATGGCTAATAATAAGTTATTAGCGCTCCTTTTTGAGGTTTTGGTAAGTAAGGCTATATAACTGTCATTTTCATGTCTAATAACCAACCTTCTGGGACATCTCAGTGTTTGTTTGGAGAAGAAAATTGTATCTGAGTCTTAAGAGTAACGTGAGTTGAGCTTGATGGCATATGCCTATAATCTCAGTACATGACAGTAAAAGCAGGAGGACTAGAAGTTCAAGGTCACCCTTAGCTGACTAGCATATTTGAAGCAAATCTGAGCTAAATAACACCCTATCTTAGGGAAGGAGAAAAGCCCATGAGGCTGACATGTAATGGAGCATGTGCAAAAGAAAGCATGTGCTGCTATTCAAATGACCCATAAAGGAAGAGTTTTTTCAATCTGCTGGTCATGGGCACCATTGGGCTTCTAACATTTATCCCAGACCTGTGTACTATTTTTTGAAAGCATTAAAATTTTTTTTATCTATTTATTTTGTGTTTATGTGTGCTTTCTGTATGAAGGCATGCACATGCCACACACAGCACCCATGTGGATGTTGGAGCCCTCTGTATAGTCCTTACCTCCCATCTGGTCTTTGAGGTACCATCTCTCCCATTGTTTACTGCTGTATTGCTTTCTCCAGGATAGCTGACTGAAAGGTTCTTGGCCGTTCTCCTGTGTTTGATTCCCATCTTGCCATAGGAGTGCTCTTACACAGTTCCAGGGGATCTGAACTCAGGTTCTCAGTCTTGTGTGGCAGGCGCTTTCACTCCCTGAGCCATCTACCCACCCCACCCCCTTTTCCTAATAATATGTTTCTAATATTGCAACTTCAAAGAGTAAATGGGAAAAAAAGCTGGGTGGTGGCAACGGCTCATGTCTTTAATCCCAGCACTTGGGAGGCGGAGGCAGTTGGATCTCTGTGAATTTGAGGCCAGCCTGGTCTACAAAGTAAGTTTCAGGACAGGCAGAATTGTTGCAGAGAAACCCTGTCTCAAAAAACCAAAATAAATAAGTAAGAGGTAAGAACCTGATGGGATGATTTGCCTCTGTTAGCTCTCCTAACTTAAGTAGCTCTTACCCTTAGAGAGAGTCTCAGTATCTGGTGTCATTATTGTCGTTGTTATTAGAGAAGGACTTTACAGTGACGACTTCACTAAATTTAGAGACACTAACTATATTGGTGAGTAAGAGCCCTGCAGCTTCCCTCCGTGGACTTGTGTTACTGTTCTGAGACAGTCTCACCTAAGGAACTGCTGGCTTGTAGCTAGCTGTCGTGGGGCTCAGGTTATCCCACATTCAGGATCCTTCGCTCTCACCACGGGGGCCGACACTGTAGCTTGTGTGCCGTGTTGGCTCCACCCTGGGCCCTCTGGTAAGTTCTTATTCTTGTCAGTTGTTTCTTAAATTTGTCCCCAGTTATGATGCCTAGATTCCCCTTTACTATGCTTTTTGGGTTGATTACTTGTTTTTTGAACTTCCTCAAATAATTTCCAAAGAAAATGTACAAAGAGAATAAACAGGTTTTGACTGTCTAAGAAATATTTTATTATTGTTATTGTTTCAAGACGGTCTGTCTTTGAACTCACTGTGTAGTCAAGGATGAACTTGTACTCCTGATCTTTGGCCTCCCAAGTACTAGGATTAAAAGCACCACAGCTTTTAAAATTACATTTAAAATACTTACTTATTATTATATGTGTGTAAATGTCAGAGGACAACTTATGGAGGAGTTGGTCTCTCCATTATGTGAGTCTCAGGGATCAAACTCAGGTTGCTAGGCTTGGCAAGCACCTTTACCTGCAGAGCCGTTTTACCAGCTCCAAGACATTTTTTTTTTAAAGCCAAGTTCTTATTCTATAGTCAAAGCTAACTGGGAACTCACTCTATTCCATATTGATCTTAAATTGGAGTAATCCTCTTGCCTTATCCTCCCAAAGTGCTCGGATTATAACTGTGCTCTGATACCTAGCAAGAAAGAATATTGTTTTTATTCTTTTTTTTTGTTTTTGTTTTTTGTTTTTTGAGACAGGGTTTCTCTGTGTAGCTTTGCGCCTTTCCTGGAACTCACTTGGTAGCCCAGGCTGGCCTTGAACTCACAGAGATCTGCCTGGCTCTGCCTCCCAAGTGCTGGGATTAAGGGCGTGCGCCACCGCCCAGCTGTTTTTATTCTTGATTGATACATTGGGTAGTTGTAGTTTTAGGCTATGTCCTCATATACTAGTGTAGACGAAAGTTTTCCTGTGTCCCACAGCCATTCCATCCCAAATAAACACACTGAGGCTTATATTAGTTACAAGCTGTTTGGTCTATGGCCTATGCTTATTACTAACTAGTTCACTCATCTTAACTTAACCCATTTCTGTTAATCTATGTATCGCCATGTGTATCGTGGCTTTACATGAGTTCCATTACATCTTGCTTCTCTGGAGGTGTCTCCCAGTGTTTCCCCCTGACCCCACCCTTCTTCTTTCTATATCTCTCTTGGACTTCCTGCCTGGCTGTCTCCTATCTTGCCATAGGTCAAAGCAGCTTCCTTATTAACCAATAGTAGCAACATATATTCACAGCTTACAGAAAGACCATCCCACAGCATACTAGCATGCATTATTGTGAATGAAAAATTGGGAAAATTTGCCATTTCTGTGTTATCTCGATTCTCCATCCCAGAAGTTTTAATAACCCCTGCTTAACTTTGGTATTCTGAGATCTCATTTTGGTATGTAATGGGCCTTTTGGCGTTGCTGAGCCCTTTCATTTTAAGTGGTACTTAAAAAGAGAATCGAGTTCAATATCTGTTCAACACCACACAGAAACATGGCATTCCCTATGGAAGAAATAGTATAAACAGAAACATGGGGAAAATCTTGTAATTCTGCTAGGGATGATGGCTCACACCTGTGATCCCAGTATTCTGGAGGCTGAGATAGACAGAATGCTGTGCTTCCAAGAAAACTTAGGCTACAAAATAAAATTACTATCAGTTTGGTTTTTGTTGTTGTTGTTGTTGTTGTTGTTTTCCGAGACAGGGTTTCTCTGTGTAGTTTTGGTGCCTGTCCTGGATCTGTAGACCAGGCTGGCCTTGAGATCCATCTGGCTCTGCTTCCTGAGTACTGGGATTAAAGGCATGCGCCACCACCGCCCGGCTACTGTCAGTTTTTGAAAAACAGAAGAAATCTAGTGTGGTAGTACAACACCTTTATCCCAGTACTTTGGATCTCTATGAGTTTGAGGCCAGCTTGGTCTATATAGAGAGTTCCAGGCCAGACAAGGCTGCACCGTGAGACCCTGTCTCACAAAAACAAAAGCAAAAGAAAATAAAACAAAAAAAGTTCATGTAAGCCTGATTGACAGATAAAGAAGCTCATTTTTTTTTTTTTTTTTTTTTTGGCATGCCTGGAAGTAGAGGTAGGGTGAGGAAGATGGTGTCTTGGTAAGGTCTGCAACTAAGGGGCTGGCTGTTCATAGTGTACTCTCAGCCAGGCAGATATGGGAGCGCATTGTGTGCATTTCTGTAATCCCAGAACATGGGAGGCAGAGGCAGGAAGAACAGGGAGCTGGCTTCTGCTACATAGTGACTTTAAGACCAATGTAGACTGCATGACCCTGTCTCTTAATTGTAATTGTTTTCCTTGGGCTACAATGATTCTGATTTCTGCTTCTATATTCCTTCTGTCTTTCAGCAACAGGACAAGACCTCATCTAACCTACATGAAGCTGCTTCAGACTGTGTGTGCTCAGCTCTATATGCTATTGAAAATGTGGAGACTAACTTGCCATTGGCCATGCAACTTTTTCAGGGGGTCTTGACATTGGAGGCTGCCTATCATATGGCTGTGGCACGTGAAGATTTAGACAAGTGAGTCATTATTGAGGTCTGGAGCCCTGGGTGACCTACAGTCTGGTGTTTTTCTCAAATCTTGTTTATAATTTATCCATCGTTTTTTGATTCGATGTGACTTGTAAATGCATACTATGTATGTACCTGCAACTAAAGTAGCAACTTGGATCCAGGAGAGAGGTTTACCACCAGTTCTTGATTGTACTAGTTTCTTACACTTACAGTGAGAAGACTGTAAGAAACAGGTATAAACTTTGAAGTATCTAGTTTAGGGGCTGTAGAAATGGCTCAACAGTTACAAATGGGTTCTGCTCCTGCAGAGGACCTGGCTACTGCCTGTATCTCCATCTCCAGGGAATCAGAGCCCTCTTCTGTATTCCACGAGCACTGGCATTCATACATGCATACACCCACACAGAGATGCACAGTTTAATGGAACTCAAGTCCCCTAGCTAGCAAGTGCTCTTAACAACTGAGCCATCACTACAGCACCCTAATTTGGAATTTTTATTAAAAAATTTGTAATAGAGAATATGAATTGACTTATCATCACATGCTTATCTGTATAGATGTGAGCATTTGCCACAGAGATTATGATGCCCGTAGTGAGTATTCAGGCAAAGAGACTTTTGTGCATTTGACTCGTATCTGTGCATATGTGAAGTCCAGATCCTTGACTTGGTATTCTCGTTCCACTTCTACAGAGTTCTGAATTACTGCCGTGTCTTCACTGAGCTATGTGAAACTTTCCTGGAAAAAATTGTTTGTACTCCAGGCCAGGGTCTGGGAGACCTTCGAACTTTGGAACTGCTTCTTATTTGTGCAGGCCACCCTCAGTATGAGGTAGTATCTATTCCGTGTTAAGGCTGTTATTCTCTGGTTGAGAAATTACAGTCTTGTTTTTAATTAATGTGATCTGGGAGTTGCGTCTGACTGGAATTTTTTTTTCCATTTCATTATTTGTATATGAGGTGGGGGTGCTGTCCATGTGTGAATGTAATGTTTACATTCCGGTGTGAATGTAAACAAGGCAGTGTTGTACAGTCAGTTCTCTCCTTCCTTTTATGTAGGTTCCAGGATTGAATGTCCTTACTCAGCAAGTATCTACCCAGTGAGCTGTCAATGGCCCATACTTGGGATATTTAAGAATTGGGTTTGGGTTTCCATTTTGCATTCTTTTCTGTTTTCCTAACTAGTTGTCAAGGTTGACTGTTGTAGGCATCTCAGAATCTATCAGAAGGAAAACCCATTACTTTGCCACTGTGCATCCTTTCTAGTTCCACTTATTTTTTTAGAGCTTTACAGCTAAAAACAATGAAAATCCACATCATATCATTCAGCCTCTGAGTGCCAGAGATAACCAACTTACAGAGAGAAAAAGTGGTGTGTTTTGTTTGTCTTTTCCAAGCTCACACACAGTTTTAGATGTTTTTGTCTTTGTCCATTGGACCCAGGCCTTGAAGACTGGAGGGCTGAGGCAGCCTGCTTACCTCAAGCTGGCTGCATATGCAAGCGGCAACAGTGAGAGTCTAGGTCCCAAACTCCCTCTGAGAAGTTTCCCACTGACCCCACTTCCTCCAAGCCCAGCCTCATAAGTGGTCCACTACCCCCTAGTAGCACCACAGCCTCCCACGCATATGAGCCGTTGGGCATTCCTCATCTAAACTCTAGGATATACCAGTTCCTGATAACCCCAGAAGGCTTCATGTCTTCAGTTTTTCTTTAAAAGATATGAATGAGACTTAAGAATCTCTCTCTCTTTTTTTGGGTGGGTTTTTCGAGACAGGGTTTCTCTGTGTAGTTTTGGTGCCTGTCCTGGATCTCGCTCTGTAGACCAGGCTGGTGTTGAACTCACAGAGATCCGCCTGGCTCTGCCTCCCGAGTGCTTGGATTAAAAGTGTGAAGAATTTCCTTCTTAACCAAGCATGATGGCCCGTGCCTTTAATCCCAGCACTCAGGAAGCAAACGCAGGAGGATCTCCATGAATTTGAGGCCAGCTGGTAAAGCTGGATGTGATGGGACATGCCTGTAATCCCAGCACTTGGAGGCTAAGACAAAGGATCATGAGTTTGAGGCTAACATGGGCTACATTGTGAGCACTAGGCTAGCCTAGGCTATATGGATGCTGTATTTATAAAAATAATAATATTCTTTAAGACATTTTACACTCTACACCCTGATCCCTTTGTGGTACTGATGATCAGACTCAGGGCCTTGCACGTGTTAGGCAAGTTGGTGTCGCCCGTCAGCATCCCCAGCCAGCCCTCTGCTTTGTCTTTGTTCTTTGTTTTTAGACAGGATGTGCATCCCTGGCTGGCAGACTGGCCTGATAAGCATCCTGTCTTCATCTCCCAGATGTTTAGATAATAGACATGTGCTACTATACCCACTTATAAATTTCTAGATTTTAGGGGCTGGAAAGATGGCTCAGTGGTTAAGAGAATTGGCTGCTGTTCCTGGGGACCCAAGTTACTAAACTATAGCCCCAGTGCCAAAGGATCCAACACCCTTTTCTGGCTCCTATGGGTACTGCATTTACATGGTACACAGACACACATGTAGGAAAACAACTATACACATAAAGATAAGTAAGAAATTTAATTTTTTTCCTAGATTTTTAGAAAGTTCTTTGTCTATTTGAGAAATTATGCCTCTTATTTATCACTTAAAAAATAGTAAAGGAGGCTGGAGAGATGTCTCAGTGGTTAAGAGCACATACTGCTCTTTCAGAGACCTGAGTTCAGTTTGTAACACCCACATGTGGTGGTTTACAACCATCTGTAACTCCAGCTCCAGTAGAATCTGATGCCTCTGACATTCTTGGGCACCTGCACTCAGGTGCATAATAAAAATAAATCTTTAAATCCTGTTAACTTGAAAAGAAAAAGAATTAAGAAAGTGCTCTTGGGTTGGGCATTGTTTTGAACAGCTTTCCTTTAGATCCTTAATGGAAAGGAACAACAGCAGGCCCCTTTTCTGTGCTTGCTCTTATTCCTGTGTCCTCAGCCTCTTGCCTTTTATCACAAACAGGTGCTGTTTGTCTGCAGCTCTCCTGAGGATTTCTAGATTGGGTAAAATCCAGAGCAGTATAGTCCTTTGCAGGAGTAGTCGTCATTCAGAAATAGCATTGTATGGAAGGGTAGCTGTGACTGAAATTCCCATCTATTTCTGTCATCTTTCGTGTTCATGAAAACAGCCAAATGAGGGCTGGACATGGTAGTGTGTCCCTATTATCCCAGCACTAGGGAGGTGGAGGCAAGAGAATAGGAAATTCAGAGTCATCCTCCTTAGCTACTTTGTGAGTTTGAAGCTAGCCTTGACTATGTGAATCAACCCCCTTGCCTCTAACAGGGGAGGAGCATGAGTTTAAAAATCTTCTCTGTCAAGGGAGTTACATTTAGTTCTCCTGGGAAGAAATCTTCTGATGTCAGCATAATTAATTGTTCCAGAAATTTAGGAAAACTATGCCTTACAAGACTTGTGTGTCTTTGTTTTCTGTACAATCTAATGTGCTTTGGGAAAAGTGTTCTCAATGATAAATAGAGATATAAAGGTAGTCATCTAAGTGAATCTTGAGGTGTAATTTGGGAAGATATTTAGGAGGTAACATAACAAACCTCTACCACAGAAAAGGTGGCTTCCTCACTGCATGTGCATTATGGAATATTGTAGCTGCTTTGCTTTATGGTAAGTAGTCATGAAACTTTTTTTCCTGTTCTTTTCCTGCAAAATAAACCATCAACTTTTTTACCTAACAGGTAGTAGAAATTTCCTTTAACTTTTGGTACCGACTAGGAGAACATTTGTACAAAACCAATGATGAGGTTATCCATAGCATCTTCAAAGCGTACATTCAGAGGCTGCTTCATGCTTTGGCTCGACACTGCCAGCTGGAACCTGACCATGTAAGTACCCTTCTCTACTTTAAATCTTCTCCACCTTTTGATTCCAACTTGAAAAACTAAAAAGCTCGGGAGGCAGAGGCAGGCGGGTCTTTGTGAGTTAGAGGCCAGCCTGGGCTACAGAGTGAGTTCCAGGACAGCCAGAGAAACCCTGTTTCGAAAAATGAAAAGAAAAAAAAGAAAAGGTAATTGATCTAATAGTCTTCAAGTTTTTTCACTTTAGCTTGCAGTGAAGAAGTCACTACTAGTATAATAAAAATTAGACCTATGTAGGCAATTTTTTCCTGCTGAACCAGTAATTGTTTATGTAGGAATTTGCTTTAAATGATGTTATAAAAGATCCACTCCTTGTCTTCAGCTTTACCTCCACTAGCCCGGCGGGCTCGACCTCGGCCATGGCCTCAGCCTCGACTGCGGCCCCTAAGGCCACTGCTGAATCCTCCACGGAAGCCGCCTAATCCTGGGCCCCTGGGTCCTCCGGGCCCTCCTGCTGCACCGGCGTTGCCCGCCATTTGGTGTTTTCCCGAAGAAGAAGAAGCCACATTTGGTTTATATTGTGTTTTTAATAGTGTAGGACATATGGTTAGGTAAAAACTGATATAAAAAAGTGAAAGAATTGTGTAAGAATATTGAGAATTTTGATTTCCCTCCACATATGTATACGTTCTCTTTATATTACTTATAATCATTTGATAATTTAGAAGAAAACATAGACATTTACTTAGAAGAAAATATACTAGACACGTGAAATAGTTTGTTGGAAAGCTCTTCCACTGCCTTCTCTTCTTAACGGCTTTGTACATTCTGCCTCAGTTACTTTACCTTTCTGGGTGCTTGTGGGGTGGCTTTAGTCTAGTCCCTGGAGTAAATTTAATTGCTTGTGATGAAATGTGGCACACTCGACTCTGAATTTCTCTGAACTGAGGATCCCTAGTTGTAAGCACATTTTGCTTGGACAGTCCCACATGAGCTGCTCTGGTTCAGGGGATTCTCTGCTCTGTGCCAGGTCTGTGGCACCATTTCCCTTGCAAATACTTTTACACTTTAAAGTTTATAGTACTTTAGAATTTTATGCATTATTTCATCTGGAAAGCCATCATTTCCTCATTATTTCTCCATTTTAGTTTCTTCATCTTAAAACAAAGAGGCTGAACTATATAAGCAGTTCTCAGTGGTATTAAGGAGTGTTTCTAGATGTTCATAGCCCAAGATATTCATAGGTGCTTTTAACCTCTTAAAATTAATTAGTAACTCTTTTATTTGGAGAAGTGCGTTGGGATAGGAAAGATTTAAAGTCTAAAATTTTTCTTGTGAAGTTATTGTGGTAATGGTTGGGTTTTGTTGTTTTGTTTAAGATTTTGAAAAAGAAAGCCTCAGATTTGTTCACTATTAAAGAGCTGACCTTTTCTAGATAGGCAACCTTTAAAGCTTCTTTCCAATCACTTTTCATACCATGGTTTTCTTGAAAACAAACAAGATGTGTAATTGAAAATACAAAATAGGCATGCATAGTCACATAGATAAATGGAAGAATTTCTCATAGGAAAGTGGAGAGTAGAATGTGTTGACTCAACACACCCGACACTTGAGGAGATCTTCTCTTTTGGTAACACAGCCTTGTGATTTTGCACGTTGGTTCATTGGCACTGGACTACTGAGTGGCTTTTTCTTCTCTGTGGAAAAAGCTCAGGGCATTAACAGCTCTGGTGGGTTTTAAACAGATGGTACATGGTTTTGAATTTCAGGAGGGTGTTCCTGAAGAGACTGATGACTTTGGGGAGTTCCGAATGAGAGTGTCAGACCTGGTGAAGGACCTGATTTTCTTGATTGGCTCTATGGAGTGTTTTGCCCAGGTAAGTCCATTTGAGATTCTGGAGCTGGTTTTACTGATCACATTGATTGTGTTTATCTTGCTTCTATATCTTCTGTAAATGGTCCATCTTTTTTTTCTTTCTTTCTTTCCCAAGCTTGGTGGCCAAATGAGATAATAGATATGTAGGTGCCTAGCACATTGCCTGGCATATAGTAGCAGTGTTCATTTAGAGTCTGATAAACCAGTTGTAGTGGACAAATAAATTCAGTTATGGTTTACTCTATTACTCTTCATAATGAGGGCTGTTCCATGTGTGCAGCTGACAAATCTGGAAGTCTCCAGGATTTGGACCCCACTGTGAAAAATGGGCAGGTTTTCCAGGTTTAATCCCGACAACTCATTAGTTATATGGTATTTCCTTGGTCCACAATTAGGGTTAGATTCTTGTGTAGCTTCATCCCAGAGGTGGCTATACTAGAGTAGAAGAGTCCTAGTCCTGTGGTTTCCTGATGATCACTGAGTGACATTTTACCTTGTAAGGTTGCAATCATTATCATCATCCCACATCACTTTAATGTTAGAATAATTTCAGGTGTTTTTCCTATTGCTGGATTGTACTTTAATGAACTCTGATGTGAGTTTGGATGCTGTGTTGTAGCAATCAATACCAAACAAACAAAAAGAAGATGAGGAGAGGAGGGTTGACACCCGTTCTGTATGTAAAACTTGTATATGATCTTACCTAGGAAATGTTCAGTGAATTACAACTTTTCATACAAAGCATGTTCTTTGAGTTAGCTCTGCAGATTTGGAGATTCTTAGGAGGCAGATTCAGTGGGCAGGCGACCTACACTCAGATTTCTACTCTTTTCTCACTGGCTCTCGTCTTTGACTTAAGTTTACAAATTATCTGAACTGTCAATGTTGCCAAGATGTGTTCTATGGAGCACCAGGTCCAGAAAATGTTCTTTGGCAAAAACGAAAGAAAGCTAGCTAAATCTTTAATTGAAATTAGGATATGATACAAATATCTACACATTACATTAAAAGTTTTGTGATGTCATACAAGAGAGGGTTTTTTTTATTCTTTCTTTCCTTTGTAATGTCTCTTTCTTTTTTCTGAGACAGGTTTTTCTCTGTGTAACAGCTCTGGCTGTCCTGGAATTTACTTTGTAGACCAGGCTGGCCTTGAACTCACAGAGATCACCTGCCTCTGCCTTCCAAGTGCTGGGATTAAAGGTGAGCTCCACCACTGCCTGGTTCTGTAGTGTCTCTTTTGACTTTTGTGTTTTTCCTTTTTTCTTTTTTTTTCGTCGGAGCTGAGGACCGAACCCAGGGCCTTGCAAGCGCTCTACCACTGAGCTAAATCCCCAACCCTCAGTTATTTATTTTTACCTGTAAACATTTTACTTGGCCTAACAGCTAGTCATGTTCCACACGTAGATATAATCTGGGAAATTGAGGACCAGAACATCACTCGGTATTCTGTTAGGTCTGCCTTTTTTTTTTTGTAAAGATGTATACTTGGCAGAGTGGTGGTGATGCACACCTTTAATGCTAGCACTTGAGAGGCAGAGGCAGGTGGATCTCTGTGAGTTCAAGGCCAGCCTGGTCTACAGAGATAGTACCAGAACTGCCACAATGAAATCCTGTCTTGAAAAACCAAAAAAGAAAAGAGAAAAAGGCTGTACTTGGCCATGCTACTGCACAGAGCCTCCTAGCACTTTCTCCTCGGCACTTTAACTTGCACTACTGTGGATGCAGCCGGTAATGAAAATAAAGTATTAAGCAGACGCACAGGCAGAATTTGTGCTTTAAGGATGTTTGTCTGGGGGCTGGAGAAATGGCTCAGAGGTTAAAGCACTGACTACTCTTGCAGAGGTCCTGGGTTCAATTCCCAGCACCCACATGGCAGCTCACAACTGTCACTCCAGTTCCAGGGGATCTGACACCCTCACTCAGACATCCGTGCAGGCAAAATACCAATGCACACACACATACACACAAAGAAATAAATTAAAAAAAAAAAGGGATGTTTATCTATTGATCTCCTACCAAGACCACAAGACACTCATTAATGTTTAACATTTCCCCCATAATACTGATTTTTCTGGGGATGCATGATAATCTTGATAAACTCTTGGGGTTCTAAAAATCATAGTTACTTCTAGATAGTGAGGATATGAAACATGAAAGTACTGTTCGTAGTCGGTTCTGAGAGATAATTGGGTTTAGAAACAACGAGCCGGATTTCTTTGAACTAACATTTTTTGTTTTGTTTGTGTTTGGAATTCTATTTTTCTTTTAATGGCTCCATAATCCACCTCTTCTTCTCTAGTTGTATTCTACTCTGAAAGAAGGCAACCCACCCTGGGAGGTGACAGAAGCGGTTCTCTTTATCATGGCTGCTATAGCAAAGAGTGTTGATCCGTGAGTGTCTAATAAGTCTTTTGCTGGGAACTCTTTAACTATCAAGAGAAAGGAGATTTACACCATGTTTCTGTATTGGTATATTATTGGAAAGTCTGATAACTTCTATGCTGCTGTCAAGCTTTCCCATTTTAGTCTAGTGCAGGATGGCCTGCACTGCTGATGCCGTATTTTAATATATTTCCTAGAGTTAAACTCACTTTCCTCTTGATGCTAGGAATAGAATGCTGATATTTTTTTTCCCTTCAGTGGCTCCTTGTGTCAGTGGGTTTGATCAAGGAATTTGCTAGAGTGGTAAATTGTTTGGTATTGGCTTAAAACAATGGGATAGTCATTAATTTGGATCGCCTGCTTTTGTGACCTTAGGTAAGTTACCCTTAGATGTTTAATTACATTGTTCTCTTTCTCTGTCTTAAGGAATCTGTGGGCTTCAGAGGCAGAGCATTGGTACCATTTCACATAAAAGAATGGACAATCTAAAGGACAGTTGTTACTTTTGTTACTGCCATTGAAAAGTTTAAATTATTTGAATTTGAGTTGTAATTGCTTAGCATGGACATTAAATTAAAGACAGGGTTCTTAAGCAGAGTTTTGCTTGTGTCCTGAGTTTATACACTGATGTAATAACTTTGTCCAGTTACATTGGATTTTGATCAGGTGCTTACACTCTAGCACTACTTAGGACCTTGATTGGAAAGCTGGCTAAGGCAGATGGGCACCTGTTACAGGCACAGTGCTTCCTTCTTAGCGGGCTTTCGGGGCCTAGTTTGTGAACTCGTAGATGTGTTTTCAACCCAAGAATACTTTAGGAGATGATTAGGCCTTCTTTTTTTTTTTCCTAATAGAAGTTCTGCTTCTTAATTACTTACTATAGCACTTGCTCTTAAACCATTTGGGGGTCTTTTAGAACCTTCTCTGATGGTCTGAGGGTTACCAAAATCATTATTATTGTGCTCAGTAGGTGTTGATTGGAAAAAGGATAGGTAGATAGTCTCCTATAACTGGCTGAGTATCCAGTTTAAGGCATCAATGAGAAAATAATTACTTGTTTATCCTCTCTTCAAACCAACATGTGATTACAGTTTTTTGGTTTGGTTTGGTTTTTTAGTCCATTTAAAGGATGTAATAAGCCTAGTAATTGGCAGATAATACTCATGCTATAATCCTGGATATCTTCATTTTAAACATCTTCATTTCTGAATTAAATTCTAACTGGGAACATCTTCCATGCTGTGTTTTGAACCCAGTTTAGTAGGAGGATGAGAGTGATAAATTCACAGAACTGTGGAAAGTGTTTGGTTTTTTAGATTTCCCCTTATGTTCCAAATCAGGGCATCCTAATGGCCCTGCAGCCTGTTTTCTTGGGGTCTGTCACTTAGTGAGCCAGTTCACCTGCACTTTCCTTTCAAAGTTCCCAGTGTCCAGCCATAAGAAATCTTCTGGAGGATAGCAGCTGACAGAAGTGGTCTGTGAGAGTTTTCATCATTCATTTAAGCATTCAGTAGTATTTCTGGAGTGCCCACTATGTGCCAGGCACTGTTCTAGGTGCTGCAGATAGGGGACAAAATGAAATAGGTTCTTTAAAAGATGACATTCACCATCAGCTAATGTCTGCCTTTCCAGTTGCAAATGCCTCTCTTTGATAGTATATATCTAGATACTTTCATGTCATTCAGAAGAAGCAGCAGTGTAATTCCGGAATATTGATTTTTTTTTTAAATTTCTATCTTTTGTGCCTTTTTGAAGGTTTGGAAAATGTTCAGGGCTGGGGAATGTGTCTCAGTGGTAGAGCACATTCTTAGCACCTCAAGAAAACAAGAAACCAAACTCCTTGTTTGAAAATATTCAGCACTTTTATCTGAATAGTTATTATTTACTTAGAAGCCCTTTAGGCACTGTGAAGTCTCACTGCTGCCTATTGCTTGGCCGGAATATTACCCCTATAGACAGTAACTGTAAGTCCTTGTTTTTTGTCCTCAGGGAGAACAATCCTACCCTTGTGGAGGTACTGGAGGGAGTTGTCCGTCTCCCAGAGACTGTACATATGGCTGTGCGGTACACCAGCATTGAGCTGGTTGGGGAAATGAGTGAAGTGGTTGACCGGAACCCTCAGTTCCTGGGTGAGTGTGAACTCGGCCTCTGCTGCCGTCCCTTGAGCTGGTCTGATGGCTCCTTTCTTTTGCGTCTGTTTTCCCACTTTCTTCTCATAGAATAGGCGTAGTGTGAGTTACTTGGTTGGAGCATTTGTTAGACCTCCAGATAGGGAGAGGGCTGGAGTATTTAGTGCCTTTTTTAAATAAAGCACAAACATTTCTGTCTCTGCTAGTCTTTGGTACATGTATGAGCTGATCAGACTGTCCTCCTAACAGCTAATAGACTAAAGGAAAGAAATGAGTTTTCTCTGTGAAGGAGATATTTTATGTAAAAGCTAATAATTATTCAAAATAAATGTAAAGTAAAATGAATCTTGAGAGTTGGAATCATTTATCCCGTTTTGCGGATAAAGACTCTGAGATCCAAAGGAAAAAAATCTGTCCAGAGAAATATGTAATCAAACTCCTGATATTTAAAAGAGATTCATTCAGAGAATTTTATGTGTTCCCAAGTTTGTGAATGTTTGCAAATAATCTGGTTTTAATGGTTAATACTTGCCACAAAAAGTAAACAAGTAGCTGGGCACAGTGGCAAATGCCTTTAATCCCAGCACTTGGGAGGCAGAGACAGGCAGGGCTGTGAGTTCAAGGCCAGCCTGGGCTACAGAGCGAGATCCAAGGCAGCCAAGACTGTTACACAGAGAAATCTTACACACACACACACACACACACACACACACATACACACACACACACACACACACACACACACACACACACACACACACACACACCAAAAAAGGTACACAAGTTTCTTTTTCTCACTTTTGTACATGGAACCTATGATAGGTGTGCTCAGTTATTACCGAGCCACTTAGCAAGTACAGCATGCCATTCCATAATATTTTCAAAATTCCTGAGCGTGCGTTCATGAGTGTGTGTGTGTGTGCCCTTCTACCAGGAAGCAGAAGTGGAGTCATTGTTTGTTTGTCATGTCCAATCATCAGCAGAGTTCAATACCTACTTGCAGTATCTGATTCAGATTTGTACATCAGCAATAAACACATTTCTGTGTTAATATTTACTCCAGAATAATCAAAACTGCTGTGTCATTTGAGACCCAAAGCCTACAATATTGGAGTTGTTTGGGCTATCAATTCTGATTCTCCATCTTCTGAGTATCTTAACTAAACAGTCTTGGGGCTTTGGGGGAAGAGGATAGACTATGGTAGGCTGTGTTACAAATTAATTTTATAGTACTGAGGATCAGTCCAGGGCCATGTGTATGCTAGCTAAGCATTCTACCACTGAGCTACATTCTCGGTTCAAGATAACTGTTTTAACTGGGTTTTGACACAGTACCCTTTTGAGAACTTCATGAAATTGATCTTATGATCCTATAGCATGTTTAATATTTCCTTTCTTCAAAAAAAAAATCAGATTTTATAAAGAAAGGTAAAAAGAAGAGTAGGATTAACTGGAAGTAAACCTTTGTAGTCAACATTGTTGGAACAGTGCATTTGATAAAATAAAGGCATAATAGTAAGTTCTTTCATTCAGAAGTGATAACGGTGGGGTTTGAGAAGTGGATAGTGAATAAAACACTTGCCTTGCAAGCTTGGGGACTGGAGTCTGGGTAGCTATAACCCACCTAGACAGGTGGGACAGGTGAGGTGGGCAACAGAAATCCCAGTGTTAGGGAGACAGAGATGGTATCTCCAGGGCAGGCTGGCTAGTAGAATGATCAGCAAGCTCTGTGTTCAGTTAAGAGCACCTGCCTCAGTAAATAAAGTGGAGAGTGATAGAGGAACACCTAACATCAACCGTGGGGCTACATGTACATATGCACACATGTAAACATTCATATACATATGCACACACACACAGTTGTTTTTAAGTATGTGTAAAGTGTGGATATGTACACAGGAGTGCAGGTGCCTGCGGAGGCCAGAGGCATCAGATCCCTCTGGAGCTAGAGTTAGAGGCAGTTGTAAGCCACTCTGTGGGTGCTTGAAACTGAACTCAGGTCTTGGGAAGAATAGTGCATGCTATTAATGGCTAAGCCGTCCCTTGGGCTCACAGTCAGTGGTTTTCAAGCTGCTGCCTGAAACTGGGGTTAGAAGGAACAGTTAACTACAATGAAGAAAGAATTGAAAGATGAAATAAATGGAGCTCAGGGCCTTTGGACGCTGCATCAGAGAGATCAGCTTCAAATTTGTGAGTTGTTTTTGTTTTGTTGGTTCTTTTTTAAAAATTTTTATTTTATGTGCATTGTTGTTTTGCTTCCATGTGTGTCTGTGTGAGGGTGCCAGATTCCCTGGAACTGGAGCTACAGACAGTTGTGAGCTGCCATGTGGGTCCTCTGAAAGAGTAGCCAATGCTCTTGAGCACTCAGGCATCTCTCCAGGCCCTTGTTGATTCTTTTGAGACAAGGTCTCACTATGTATCCCTAGCTTGTCTGGAATTCATGTAGACCAGGCTGGTTTCACACTCACAGAGATCAGCCTGCCTCTGCCTCTCAAGTGCTAGGATTAAAGGCATGTGTCACCACACCTGGTGAATTTTGTTTTGTTTTGTTTTTTTAATACTAAGAGTGATTTATATATTTCATTTTATGAGTTACTTTTGAAAAATATATCAGCCTTTGTTGCAAGAAAGTATATACTTTCCTTGAGTTTCAGATATATAATCTGTATTTGACTTTTATTTCTTAGACCCTGTATTGGGCTATTTGATGAAAGGCCTGTGTGAAAAGCCTCTGGCTTCTGCGGCAGCCAAAGCCATTCATAACATTTGTTCAGTTTGTCGGGATCATATGGCTCAGCACTTTAATGGACTCCTAGAAATTGCCCACTCCCTTGATTCTTTTATGTTGTCTCCCGAAGCTGCTGTGGGTTTGCTAAAAGGTTAGTAACAGTCTCCTCTAGACCACTAGTTGGGCTTACCTTAAAGTCTTATTGAAGCTTTTAGTTATAATGTACTTAGGGATGGTGAAGGTGGCTTTTCCATTCAGGGGGAGTGTTTAGTATGTGTTCATACATTCTTTCCTTAGCAGAACTTAAGCCTATCAAATGAATTCATACTGCTTGCAGTATGTATGTAGATTTGGGTTAGAGACAACACATACATATTAAACACATTCATGTTTGCTGCTCAGAAGAAATGAACATTGAGTTATGTCAATGTGAACATCAGCCTGGATTCTTCTAAACACACACTTAAGATACTGTAATTTTAAAAACAGTGCTGATCTTTTAAAAAGAGTTCTGTTTATCTGTGTAATTTAGATCAACTAATTTAATTACCTTAATTCAGCCTTTATGCTTTTCATTGGAGTCATTTTTGTTTTTCAGGAACAGCTCTTGTCCTAGCAAGACTACCTTTGGATAAGATTACTGAATGTCTTAGCGAGCTATGTTCTGTTCAGGTTATGGCATTGAAAAAGGTGAGCCCATATAAGGAACGAAACAAATACATACTTACATGTTCCGAAAGAAAAAGTACAATTCTTATTTACAAGTTAGTTATCATATGTTTAAAAGCCAAGATCATTAACTGAAATTTACTAAAATTAGGAATTGTATCTGCATACTAGAAAATACACAGTTGAACATTTGTTTGCATCAAGGAAATAGTCTGAGGAAGCATTGTTAGGCATTTTTGTAGGTATTCAAACATTGGACTGTAATACAAACCCAGAAGCCATAGGTCAGTCATTTGACATGACCTCTTGATGCAAATCAAGAGACATGGCAAACATTGGGCATATGAGGGCTGCTGCTACCATAGCAATTTCTTTTTCCTGAGTATGCACACACCTTAAAATAACGGTAAGGCCAGACATGGTGTCCCCTGCACTTGAGGGGCTGATTCAGTAAGATCAGGAGTTTGCGACTAGTGGGGCTACATAGTGAATGCTAGGCAGCCTGGACAAAATGGTGACATACTCTTAAAACAAACAAAGCCAAAGTAACAGTAATGATAATATAGTAAACACATCAGTAACAGTCATATTAGAAGCATTTCAAATATAGGAGTAAACATTACACACTAATGTTTGAGTAGCTATGAAGTCTTTGTGTTAAAAGTTTTTCAGAAATATTATAATCTTATAAAAGGCCTTTTATACATGTAGTCGCTCATTGACCAAAGCATTGTTTATGTGTCACATGACTATTTAAAAATCAGTAGCTTCTCAGGATGGTGGTGGCACACACCTTTAATCCCAGCACTCGGGAAGTAGACAGGTGGTTCTTTGAGTTCGAGGCCAACCTGGTTTACTGAGCAAATTTCAGGACAGCCAGGGCTTCATGAGAAACCCTGTCTGAGGGGTTGAGGGGAATTGCGGGGTTGTGTGGAGACAGTAGATTCTCAGTTTCTCAGTATCAGTAATAACCATTAAAGGGTCTAGTGTGAAAACCAGGTCCAGGAAGTAAAACCATATCCTAGAAACCAGGAGTGTTGGCACACCTGTAATCCCAACTCAGTAGGGAAGATGAGGTAAGAGGATCATGAGTTCAGGCCAGCCTCAGCTACATAGTGAGACTGTCTCGAGGAAAGAAAATCTGTAGTCTACCATATTTTGTTGAAGAACACTTTAAAGCTGTCTGCTGTTCCCTAACTGCATTTCTAGAGCAATAACAATAGACATACTAATGGAAGTTTTAGAACTTGCCATATGGTCCTGAAGTTCATCTGTAATGATCTGTACTGCTAGCAGTATTTAAGGAATTTGAGGAAAGAGAATGAGAGACAGTTTGCTTTAAAAAAAAAATTCTTTAAAGAAGTAATCATCTTAACACTTTGTATTAAATAAAACTAGATATAAGTTGGATATTGTGACAGCCGCCTCTCATCCCAGTAGTCACGTACTGAGGCAAAGCTAGCCTGGGCTACATGGGAAGACTTGTCTGAACTTAAAACAAACTGAGATAGGAAGATGGCTCAGTGGGTCGAGGTGCTTGCCACTAAGCTTGGGGACCTAAATTTGATCCCTAGGACCCACATGGTAGGAGGGAACTGATTCCCACAAATTTTCTTTGACCTCCACATGCATTCCATGGCACTTACATGTCTCTCCCCACACCCAGCTAAATGAAGGGTTTTTTAAAAGCTGCATATAAGGACTGGAAAGATATAGCTCAGAAGTTAAGCTGTTCTTGTAGAAGACCTGGGTTCAGTTCTTAGCACCCTCTTCTGGCCTTCTTAGGCACCAGGCTGCCTCACACACAGTATATATACATGAATATACACTCATAAACACTCACAACCTTAAATATTTTTTAGATAAATATAAATGTTACATATACTAAGTATACAGTAACAGTGTACAGTTTAGTAAGATATAGACATTATCTTAATCATAGGTAAATGGAGAAAAATAAAATGCTGTTTTGCCCTCCCAAGTGATCAGATAGTAAATAGACTGCTAATATGCTGTCTAATCTAGGACACAAGACAGAGGAAAGTAATTTGCAAATAAGAAAGTTGTACCATTTGAGTAATTTTTCAGGCGGAAGTTGAGGGTTGATAGATAAGGATGTCTACTGCAGTATTCACTAAAGGTCTGTGTGTGTTAACGTCTTTGTCTCTTCAGCTGTTGTCTCAGGAGCCCAGCAATGGCATATCTTCAGATCCCACTGTGTTCTTAGACCGCCTGGCAGTGATATTTAGGTAAGAAGGGAAAGTCTAGAGTCAAAATAACAGCACAAATGAAACACCAAAATAAGCAAGCCATAGTGAAGGTACAAGCCTATAATCCCAGTTCTTGGGAGATGGAGGCTGGAAGATGAGAAGTTGAAGGTCATGCTTACTACATAGCAAGCTGAGGCCAGTCTAGACTACATAGGAAGATCCTGTCTCTGATCCTGCCCTGCTACACACACACACGCACACGCGAACACACACACACACACACACACACACACACACACACACACACACACACACACACTGTCATCACCATCATCACTGTCTCTTTGGTCATTGTTTCAGTGATTCTCAAGCTTCCCTCTGGCTTTTCTTCAAATTAGTGGGCTGTCGAACAAGACAGAGGAGTTGAATTTGACATTTTGTTTGTGGATCCATAACATGTATCATAGGGAGTTCAGACTAGAACAATGGCTACTTGTTATGCTATAGTTCTTAGAGCCTTTTCACTTTTGTCTGTTTGTTTTTCAAGACAGGGTTTCTCTGTGTAGCCCTGGTTGTCCTGGAACTCACTCTGTAGACCAGGCTGGCTCAACTTCAAAAGAGATCCGCCTGCCTTTGCCTCCCGAGCTGGAATTAAAGGTGTGCACCACGACCGCCTGGGCTTTTGTTGTTTTGAGACAGGATCTTATGATGTAACCTTGGCTGGCCTGGAACTTGGTGTGTAGACCAAGCTGACCTCAAATTCACAAAGATCTGCCTGTGTTTGCCTCCCAAGTGCTGGGATCAAATGTGTGCATTACCACACCTAGCAGAACTTTCTGTGTTTTAATGCTCAGGGTAGGTTTAATGTATTTTTATTAATTTGGAAACAAACACATTTAGGTTTATAAAGAGGAATAATAAAAAAAGTAGTAGAGCCTGCCCTGCAACCTATGTAACCAGAGTTGCATGGAATTTGCTTGTTCTAGTAGAAGTGACTTAGTGACAGTTTGATGTTTGTGTATGGGGGGGGTGGCTTTAAGTATGCTTGTTTTTGCTTGAAATGGGGCTAGAAGAAAATTGCTGATGTGAGTAAATGACTGCACCACCTGATTTTATGAGCAGAGAGTGAGGGCTGGGTTCTCACTTAAGTTTCCTTTCACTGTTTGGGGCTATTGTCTTTTCCCAGACACACCAATCCTATTGTAGAAAATGGACAGACTCATCCATGCCAAAAAGTCATACAGGAAGTAAGTACTAATAGATACTTTTTTTCTTTTCCCTTTAAGGCTTTGAAGAACTGGGTTGAGGAGACGCTGTCTTTCATGTTCATAGGGAGATTTATTTTGTTGGCATGACTTGATGATAATAAAAAGATTGGGAAATTCACTGAAAACCAAAGAGGTAGAAGAAGTTCTAAGATTAACTAATTGCTAGGAGGCTTAATGAGTCGTAGCCTAATATTTTTGACAAAGTCAGTGGCATTAGCTTTCCCTCTGTATAATCCTCCCTTGTGCTTTGTTCACTCGGGATAATATGAGGATCAAGAGGCATGGGGTTGTTTGTTAGTTTGCTTGCATATTGTTTTATAAATTGTGTGTTTGTATGCATATGCACTCGCCATGGCACAGAGGTCAGAGGACAACCTGCAAGAGTTAGTTCTCTCCTTGCACTGTGTGTTGCTTAGGGATTTAATTCAGGGCATAAGTTTTGGTGGCAAATGCCTTTACTGCTGAACGATCTCTACAGCCAGAGCCATGATTTCTAGAAGTGCATTGCAAACTTTAGAGGTTACCTAGATACTAGATATCCTTAAATTAAGCTTTCAGTGTAGCAGATAACTATTTATAGCCCCAGACCTTTTGTTTGTTTTCTGCTTTCCTGGAGCTTTCTTTAAATATTTTTTTTCTCTGTATGCTTTTGTACCCTCACTAAGGAAGTCTGAAATTTAGGAAAATGTGTATCTGATTTTTTATAAGGTTGGAGTTGGTGGTCTTGTTCTAAAGAGTCACTGTGTTTCTCTCAAGAAGCAGTTGGGTTTTAGTATTGTGTAATATACGAACTTGTGCATATCTATACACATACTGGCCAAATCAGGCCATGTTACTACTATAAAGAAAATCTTATCCAAATCAGACAGGTGTAATAATGTATGCTGTAATCCCAGTAACTCAGGAGGCTGATGCAAGAAGATTGTGAGGTGAAGCCAGCCTGGGCCACCTAGTGAGCTGAAGGCCAGTCTGGGCTATGGTGTAAGACTAATAATAATAATATTTACTTAACTTAAACAAAATCAGGTATTGCCTATTTAGGATTATTTTCTCAGCTATTCGTCAATATGCATTCTTTCTCTTACTTTCCTTTTGACTCAGATTTGGCCAGTTTTGTCTGAGACTCTAAATAAGCACCGTGCTGACAATCGGATTGTAGAGCGTTGTTGCCGATGCCTGCGCTTCGCTGTTCGTTGTGTAGGCAAAGGGTCTGCAGCCCTGCTACAGCCACTAGTCACACAGGTAAGCTTTCCGTGAGAGGGACACGAGGTGTACAGAACTGTACCTTCAGGGCAAAAACTGTGTTGATTGATTGATTTAGGAAGGAAAATGTATTTTCATAAATACGTACATGAAGTAGGTATGCTGTCTAGAGAAACAGCCCGTAGAGTGGTAGTCTGAACAGACTGGCTAAAATTGTGTGAAGAGAACGACTCATGCCCAGCCTTTATGTGTCAGTGGCAAACATTTTATTTTTAATTAATATCTTTGGGGAAAATGAAACAAGTCAAACTTTGCTGTTCACACAGTTCTCTTTTATTTGTCAAAAATAAATTTGATTCACTTCTTTTTTGCCCAAGTGATCGTATACATGCATGTGTGTAGGGAGAGTGCTGTCCAGAGTTAACCAAGAGTGTCTTCCTCAATCAAGTTTTACTTTTCTTGTTGAGGTAGAGTCTCTCCCTGAACCTGGAGATCCTGGCTATTCTAGGGAGGTAGCCAGCTTGCTCCAGGGGTGCCCTGCCTGCCTCCTAAGTGTTGGGAATTACAAGTGGCCGCCACACCTGCCCAACTTTTACATGGGTTCTGGGGATCCGAACTCTGGTCCTAAAGCTTGTGCTTTTATCCATGAGTCGTCTTCCCAGTCCCAGTCTGATTCTTTTAATCATTAAGATTGGCAAGTAATTGTGCTGGTGTGATTTGAAGTAGTAACAGTTAGACCTATATGAAACACTTATCCTTAGACCATTAAATGATTTGTATTGATATTAACCTCCCAGTGTCAGGACAGCACATTTAAGCTTTGTGGGGGTGGGGTGGGTATTTTAGTGCTTTAAAAAAAAAAGAGTGCTGGGCATAGTAGTATAGACCTTTAATCCTAGACATGAGACCATATTTTGGAAATACTACCCTGAGAACTAAATTGCTTGTAGTTGAAGTATTTGACAGTTCTTTCAACATTGTCTTTGGAAGGAAACCAGTCAAAGGTATGAAGGAACTCTTTAAAAAGAAAACCTGAAAATTAAGAAGTTGAGCCTTGTGTTTCAGAATGTGTTGCCAACAAACTGTAATACTTTGCCTTTAAGACAAAAACCTGGAGAGATGGCTCCGAGGTTAAGAGCACTGGCTGCTCTTCCAGAGGTCCTAAGTTCAATCTACCAGCAACCACATGGTGTTTTACAGACATCTGTAATGAGATCTGGTGCCCTCTTATGGCATGCAGGCATACATGCAGGCAGAACACTGTATACATAATAAATAAATAAATCTTTTAAAAAAAAAGAGAGAAAGGCCCCATCTGATTTTCTTCCTGGAGATAGATTATTGATACTTGAGATACTTTCTGAAGGGTGAGAGATGAGTTGACTAGATAATTTCTTCTTTCAGATGGTGAATGTGTATCGTGTACATCAGCATTCCTGTTTCCTGTACCTTGGCAGTATCCTTGTGGATGAGTACGGCATGGAGGAAGGCTGTCGGCAAGGATTATTAGACATGCTCCAGGTATGTTTTTCTTGTAGAGAATATGCCAGGCCTTCCTTGTGGACCCAAAAACCTTTGCTGGGTCTTTTTTATTCTTATCACAACCACAGTATGTCGATTTTCTAATGTCGGGGAGATAGACACTTGGTGATTGTTTTTCTTTTTTCTATTTATTTATTTTAGACAGGGTCTAAATATGGCCCAGGCTAGTCTCAAATTCACAGAGATCTGCCTGCCTCTACCCTCCGAGTACTGAGATTATAAGCTTACACTGCTTTGCCTTGCTTTTTAATTCCTTACTGTGTTTGTTGGGGTGTGGGGTGCACATATCACCACAGAGTGTGGAAGTCAGAGGACATCTTGTGGGAGTTGATTCTTCCTTCCATTGTGTGGGTCCAGAAGATCAAACTCAGATATCAGCTTTGATGACTAGACAGCATCTAGTACATATATAAAGTGTCTTCACTAATGCTGGGACTTTCGAGATGGCTCAGCAAGTAAGGGTACTTGCTGTTCTTGCAGAGGACCTGAATTCAATTCCCAGCACCCACATGGTGGCTTTCAGCCATCCATAACTCCAGTTTCAGGGGATCTGATGCTACCTTCTGACCTCCAAAGACACCCGGCATGTAGATGGTGTACATACATAATATGCAGGCGAAACACTCATACGAATAAAACAGTCCTTTAAAAAATTCTTTTTTTTTTTTTTTAAATTTCTAATTCTGTGCCAAGTATGAGGATTACTGTGAGTTTAAGACCAACCTGGGTATACTGTGACTCCAGTTTCAGGAGCTCTGACACCATCTTCTAAAATAAATAGATCTTTAAGTGGGGAATGGGACACAGTCAATTGGTCAGTGAGCAAGTCAGTCTGTTCACTATCATCAACTGAAATCTGTACTTTCGTCCCTTTCTGAAGTGTCTTCTGTGTGTGTGATGTGTGTCGTATGTGTGGTATACACATCAATGTGCAGGTGTGTGTATATTATGCATTTAGAGACCAGAGTAGAGCATCAGATGTCTTTCTCCTGCCTTCTGCCTATTGCCTTGAGACAGGGTCTCTCACTGAAGCAGAAGCGGACTTCTACAAGGCCGGCTGGCTAGTAAGTCTTAGGATCTGTCTGTCTAAGCCCGCAAAGTCGAGGTTACAGGTGTGTCCAGGCACACCTGACTTCTTATGCAGGCACTGGAGATCCAGAATCAGTTCCTCAAGCTTGCGTAGCGAGTGCTCTTCCCCACTGAGCCTTCTCTTCCCTCAGTCCCTAAGAATATGACTTTCTTGGTCTTTTTTTTCCTTTTTTCTTTTCTTTCTTTCTTTCTTTTTTTTTTTTAACGTATAAGCTTGTTCTTTGAATTGGGCAAGAGTTCTCTTTTTCTCTTCTTCTCATTATAATCTTGACTTTCCTATGTGTGTCTTCTACTCTTTATATGTGCTGTGATGTTTGGCAAGTCTGAATATTTTGATATTTATGTATAAGCATTTGCTTTAAAATTACTGTTCTGTTCTAGGCCCTATGCATTCCCACCTTTCAGCTCCTAGAACAGCAGAATGGCCTCCAAAATCACCCCGACACTGTAGATGACCTGTTCAGGTTAGCTACCCGGTAAGTCCTTCTGAAGAACAAGACTTTTTAATGTTAATTGCTCATCTCTTGTCACTGCTTAATTTTGCCACCTGACATTTTATTATTTCCTTCTCTATAAAATGAGGTCATTGGGAAAAGTAGCTTACTGATTCATAACCTTTTTGTGAGCTGGCCTATCTCCAGAGGTGAGGAAGTATTGGGTGGGAACAGAAAAGGAATATGCACGAGATAAAAATGTACTTAGGTGGGCTAGGAATGTGTCTAAGTGGAGACTGAGCTCAATGCCCACTATCAAATGAAAAAAAAAAAAAGGTGCTTACCCAGTGTCTTAGTGGGTTACTATTGCTGTGATGAAACACTATGACCAAAAGCAACTTGGGGAGGAAAGGATTTATTTCACTCACAGTTCCATATAACAGTCCATCATCAAAAGCAGTGAGGGCAGGAACTCAAGCAGGGCAGGAACTGATGTAGAGGCCATGGAGGAATGCTTACTGGCTTGTTCCCCATGGCTTGCTCAGCCTGCTTTCTTATGGAACCCAGGACTATTAGGCAAGGGTTGGCCTCACCCACAATAGGCTGGGCCCTCCCACATCAATCACTAATTAAGAAAATGCTTTACAGGCCTGCCTACAGCCTGATCTGACGGAGGCATTTTCTCCTTTGCGACTCCCTCCTCTGATGACTCTAGCTTGTGTCAAGTTGACAAAAAACTAGCCAGCACACACAGATAATCCCCCAGTAGTGTTACTGTTCCATGATGCTCTCATTATTTCATGCTTTACTCTACTTCTTGAAGAAACTGAACATCTTTCAGATATAATCTTATCTTAGAACTAATTCCTAGTTTTTGTTGTTTGTTTGTTTGTTTTAAAGGCATGTTCTCCCTGTGTGTCCCTGACTGGTCTGAAGCTATGTAGACCACCCTGGCTGATAACTGCCTGCTAGAATTAAAGATGCACACCACCATGCCCAGCTTCCTCTGACTGTTAATTGCTTTTCCTCTTCTGTGGTGAAATACCCCGACAGGCAGCTTAAGAAAGAGAGGGTTTATTTTGCTCACATTTGCTGTTTTAGTCTGTCACGGGGAGTTAGAGCTGACAGCAGCTGTTCTCACTGCCTCCACGTGAGAGAGCTGAGAGCAGTGAGTGCCTGTGCTCAGCTGCCTTTCTCCTCTCTGCACCCTAAGATCCCAACCCAGAGAATGGTGCCGCCCACAGTGGTTAGCCTACCCAAGATAACCCCCCACAGATGCCCAGAATCCTGTCTCCCAGGGAGTCCACATCTCAGTGAGTTGAAATTGAGATTAGCCATTTCACTAGTATCCTGCCCCCCGCCTTATTTTGTTTTTTTTTAATAAATAAGAGTTTTTAAAGAATAACTTCAGGTTCCTAGCAACATGGTTTCCCTATTCCTTTTGTGGCCCCCACATGCATGTGCACGCACCTCCCCATTTATCAGCATTCTCCTCCAGAGTAGTGGTTTATTCAAATCCATTCTCCTACATTTATATATTATTGAAACACGAAGTTGAGAGTGGACATTAGGATTCACTTCTGATGTTGTACATTCTGGGTTTTAAGAAGGGTCCAATGACTAGTTACCGCTGGACAATTGCTGAATGTCTTCTGAGCTCTCTTTTAGCCCTCCTTCCCTATAGGTCCTAGTAACCGGTGGCCTTTACTGTTTCCATGCTTTTTATCCTTTATCTTGGCTGCTTTTGTGGCCTGATCTTGTTGTTAATACCTAACTTCTCCTCACATACCAGATTTATTCAGCGTAGCCCTGTCACCTTACTGAGGAGCCAAGTAGTCATCCCGATCTTACAGTGGGCCATTGCGTCTACCACCTTGGACCATCGAGATGCCAATTGTAGTGTCATGAGGTTCCTACGAGACCTCATCCACACAGGAGTAGCAAATGATGTGAGTATAAACATACTTTTCCTGCTTCATGACTTCTTTCTATCTATCTTGTTTGTGTACTCACTGACCAAGTTACTAACTTCTAGACCTCAGATATCTGTGTTAAGTGCTGTATGCTGTACAAAATAGTCTGAAATGATCCTTGTTCTAGTCTGTGTTCCTGTTTTCTTACAGCATGAAGAAGATTTTGAATTGCGGAAGGAACTGATTGGACAGGTGATGAACCAACTCGGACAGCAGCTTGTAAGCCAGTTGCTCCACACATGCTGCTTCTGTCTCCCCCCGTATACCTTACCAGACGTCGCTGAAGTACTCTGGGAGATCATGCAGGTTGACAGACCGGTAAGTTTCTTTCATAAGGTGCCTAGTCTCATAGTCCCCAAACCTAATAAGCTTTGGTTCCTTGAAACTGGCCCTAAGTTTGAACCAGCTGTATTGTATATGTCCTTGCAACCAAATTTAGGTACATTGCTAAACTTAATTTGAAAGTAAAGGGGCCATAGAAAGCCAGTCATTCCTTACTGGAGTCATTCCTTACTGAAAGTGTGTTTGTGTCACTTTCGTGAGGTTTATAATGTGCATCACCAGAAGTGGGTCCTAAGCTTTGGATTGGTTGACTTGTATCAAGTCCGTGAAAAAATCTGTTCATTTGTGAGAGATACTTACATATTAGCTATATACAGTTCAAGATTATTTAAGAAGTGTACAATCACTCTGGACTCTATACTGGACTATGTTAGTTCTTGTGATAAATTAACCAGAGTATTTGTAAGGATACAAGTATTAAAAGTAAACCACATTGTCTACACCTGGATTGATTTCCCCCTTTGGATCTATTTGACCAGGTCCTTTTTCCATTTGATTATTAAAAAGAAAATAGTGGAGGGGCTGCTCACACATCCTAAGGATGTAGTATACTACTTGTCTATACCCCTGGCCTTGGATATGTCAACCCTCATGCTCAGGGAGGTGACAGATGCTGTAGTCAGATGACCCTCGCTTCCTTCAAGTAATTTCAGTACCAGCCATACAGTCATTAATGATGCTATACCTACTATATAAAAAATTTTTGGTTTATTTTTATTTTATGTGTGTGTGAATGCCTGCATGTACGTATGTTTACAACACATGTACCTGGTACCTGTAGGGGCCAGAAGAGGGCATTGATTCCCTTGGAACTAGACTAACAGACAGTTGTGAGTTACTGAGAACCAAACCATAGTCTCTTAACCAGAGTCCTCTTTCCAGCTACCATGTCAGAACTTTGAGAGTAATAGCCTGTAAATTAGTTTGAAAAATATGATTTCTAGTTTTTAATATTAATAGAGGAAAATACATAGTAGGACTTAAAATGAACTGTCTTCCAGAACCAGTAAATAAATAAATAATAAAAATACATGATGGTACTATAGTTTCCATTGTTATTTGTTTAGTGCATATATGTTCAGAGGTAGATATTACAAGGAAACTGAATGAATTTAATTTCTGGGAAGGATGAATTTAAAATCTTGATTCTTGATTCATATTATATGTATTATACATATGCTTTCTGTATCACCTGACCCAGAAATCAAACATCCATGACTCTTTTCCCAAGAAATAGGGGCATGCATGCCTCTTTCTGTGTGTGTGTGTGTGTGTGTGTGTGTGTGTGTGTGTGTGTGTGTGTGTGAGAGAGAGAGAGAGAGAGAGTGATAATGAAGTGTTTTTGTTTTATCACTACCAGTGTAATAATGTTTAAAGGAACTTTTAAAGCACATCGTTTAAGCAACTTAGATTTAGTTAATTATATAGTTTTAGCATGTTCCTAATTAAGTATCACATTTCATACTATTAACAAAAAAAATATGTATATAGATACATAGAGTAGGAGGTCCATTTAGACCATGGGTACCATTATGAAAACTTGTAAAGGAAAACTCATTTGCAGAATTCTAAATTCCTTATTTTTCTATCTGTTCCATTGCTTTAAAAATACAGGTACGGGGTTGAGGATTTAGCTCAGTGGTAGAGAGCTTGCCTAGCAAGCACAAGGCCCTGGGTTCAGTCCTTAGCTCCAAAAAAAAAAAAAAAAAAAAAAGGAAAAAATGAATAAATAAAAATACAGGTACATAATGGCACATACTATAATCCCAGCTAATCTCAGCACTTGGGAGCTAGAGACAGGAGGATCACCACAGGTTTGAGGCAAGCCTAGTTATATAGTGAATTTCAGATCAGCCAAGGATTCGTTTAGTCCATGTTACAGAAACAACGAAAAAAGAGGCAGTGTGAGTGCATGTGCAAAGAGGGTATATGTGTGTGTGTCTGTGTGTCTTGTTGATGTTTAACTTATTTTTTATTTTTCTTAAGACAGGATCTGACTATATAGCCTAAGCTAGTCTGGAATTCCCTATGTAACACAGGCTGGCCAGAAATTCTCAGTCCTTCTGCATTAAAGGCATGTGTCTCTACACCTGGCTCACAGTGTGGGCTGGAGAGATGGCTCAGCAGTTAAGAGCACTAGTTGATTCCCACCACCCACATGGTGGCTCACAACCATCTGCAGTTCCAGTTCCAGGAGGTCTTACACCCTCTTCTGGCTTCCACAGGCACTGCACTGTGTGGTACACAGACATGTATGCAGGCAATATACTCACCCATACATACACATACAATAAAATAAAGAAAATTTTTAAGCTGTTGTGGAACAGTCATCATCAATATTCTAATTATACTTTGCTTATCTATAACATCCATAAGTGTTCTTCATTTCTCATCATTTGATTTGCTCTTTTCTAAGCTTCTTCCTGTCTTCTCAAAGTTAGACTGCAGGAACATGCTAGCAGCACCTTTTCTCACTGGATATTCTCCTTGGACTTTCTGATGTTTACTTTGAATTGCTTTTGGTCTTTCAAGAGTTTTCTGGTACCCAGTAATTTTTTTAAAATAAATATGTTAATGGTAGGAACAGACCAAGAGTCTCATCCAGAAGAGACTTCACTTGCAAGGTATGGTTGACCTCTGCCCCTCTGAGGAGAAGCTAGGCCTGCTTTTGCAGAGTTCATCAACCCAGAGTGTCTGAAGGCCTAAGTAAGATAATATTTTGCTAATCTTGTTTGGCCTGACTCAAGAGAATTCCTCTGGGGTCGGTTAGTATCTGTAGGGTGCCTAGTAAGTAATTTTACCTCCTTTTAAAATTCGTATCCAATTTCTCTATACAGACTTTCTGTCGGTGGCTAGAGAATTCCTTGAAAGGTTTGCCAAAGGAGACAACTGTGGGAGCTGTCACAGTGACACATAAACAACTTACAGATTTCCACAAGCAAGTCACGAGGTGAGAGACGCTGGGGCTTTATGAAAGGGAGGCAGTGGCTGCCAGCGTTATGTAGAAAAAATAACTGCTTAGATTTCCATTCCACCAGTTGGCATAGAAAGTCATTGGGTGGCAACATCATTGTGCTGTATATGTTTGTCACTTACACATATAACTAGCTAACCTTGAGGAGATCTATCTTTGCTGTTCAAATCCTTAGTTCTCATAATATTTGATATTTAGTGGTGAAGAACACAGATCCATGCATGAACAAGGAAGCATTTTTGTCTATAAAACATTAAGAGTGATGTAGACTTCAGTTAATCACCTGTTGTGCCTGTCTTAGTTAGGGTTTCTATTGTTGTGAAGAGACACCATGACCATGGCAACTCTTTTTTCTTTTTTTTTTCCCCCAAAGATTGATTGATTGATTGATTGTGTATACAGTGTTCTTTTGCATGTATCCCTGCAGGCCAGAAGAGGGAGCCAGGTCTCATTATAGATGGTTATGAGCCACCATGTGGGTGCTGGGAATTGAACTCAGGACCTCTGGAAGAACAGCCAGTGCTCTTAACCTCTGAGCCATCTCTCCAGCCCCATGGCAACTCTTATAAAGGAAAACATTTAATTGGGGTGGCTTACAGTTCAGAGGTTGTGTCCACTATGGCAGGGAGCATGGCAGCTGAGAGTATGACTTTGTGCAGGCAGACATAATGCTGGAAAATTCTACATCTTAATCTAAAGGCAACAGAAAGTGAACTGAGACACTAGGCATGGCTTGGGACCTCAAAGCTCACCTCCACAGTGACATACTTCCTCTAACAAGGCCATACCTACTCCAACAAAGTCACACCTCCTAATTGTGCCACTCCCTATGAGCTTATGGGGGCCAATTACTTTCGAACTACCACAGTGCCCAAACCTAAAAACACTCAAATTCTTTTGAAATTTTAAAGTTTTAATACTGTGCAAATGAAACAAAATGTTTCTGAGATGCATTAGGCTCATGAGCCATTTACAATGTACATTATATATTAATTTAAATGTAATGTGGATCTTTATCAAATGTGAACATACAAATATCTTTGATATAGTCACATATACTCTTTCTAGTTACTGTCTTATAGACATTAAAGTGTACTCATACCTTTTATTGCTCCTACTAGGAAATGGGTGGTTTTCAGTTTTTCAGTATTAAAATCTCAAGGGGAAAAAAAATACAGTGTTGTTTTCTAAATGTAACCCTGAATCAAAGTCTTTGTGAGACATTATGGTCTCTACATAGTATTCATGGCAGTAACTCAGTCTGAATTTTGTAACTGATAGGTAGAGCCTTTAGAATTTGGCTAAATGTTAAGCACAGGCTTTTATTCATATATTTGTGTGATAATGTTTAAGCCAAAGAATGAGTGTTGTAGCAAGGTTGGTGATATCAGAAGAAAAAAAAACAGCCTGAAAATAATAATTATCCATCAAAAGAGAATGGTTAAATAATTCATCGTATGTCTGCATTAGTGAATAGTCACTGAAAAAGAAGTACATGTAATAGATAAGAAAATTGTATAAGCCAGGCATGGTGACACACGCCTTTATTTTACTTTTGATGTGATGAGAAAGGAACATCATGTTGGAAGGACATTGAAGAGCAAAGTTGCTCATCTTATGGTGGCTGGGAAGCAGAGATGGACAGGAGGGTATCAGGATAAGAGCACCTGTGTACTTCAAAGGCTGGGGAGATGGCTGCTCTTCTAGAGCAAGTGCAGATCCTAGCTCCATCTTAGGCAGCTTACAACCCCCTGTAATTAGAGCTCTGGAGGACCTGGCACGGAAGTTATAGTGTAGGAGCTTAACGAGGCTAGGTATGTTTCATTTGCAGTCAGGAAGCAGAAAGATGAATGCTGATATTTAGCTGGTTTTCTCATATTCAGCCACATTTAGAGTAGGTTTTCCTGCTTTAGTTAACTCAGTTTAGAAACTCCTTCACACACATGCCCAGAGATTTGTTTGTCTCAGGTGATTCTAGAACTTGTCAGTTAACAGTCAGCATTAGCCTTTATGAATGCATATGCCTCGTTTTATTTATTTTTCTGTTAGTGCACATTTAAGGTTGCTTCTCTTCTTGTCTACTGTGAATTATAAATAACATTGCTATAAACATGGATGTTATTGTTACACATAGTTCCTAAAACATGGATGTGTGAGCCCAGTGTGGTGACACAAACCTTTAATCCCAGCATTCACAAGTCAGAAACAGGAGGATCTCTGTGAGTTTGAGGCCAGCCTGACCTACATAGCAAGTTCCAGGACTACATAGTGAGTCCTCACTCAAAAGACAACAAAATTGACTTGCTTCCGGGCCCAGTAACCTAACTTCAGCCCCAGGGACCTACATGGTAGAAAGAGAGAACCAACTCTAGGCAAGTTGTCCTCTAACCACACATACCTACAACTAAGTAAATAATTTAAAGATAAATTTAGGGGTTAGAGAGATGGCTCAGCAGTTAAGAGTACTTGCTACTCTTGTAGAGAACCCAAGTTCAGTTTCCAACACCTGTGTTGTGCAGCTTAAAACCACCTATAACTCTAGCCCCAGGGGAACCAGCACCCTCTCGTGGCTTCTGGGCGCACACACACACACACACACACACACACACACACACATACACACACTAAAAATAGATCTAGTTTTGTTTTTCGAGCAGGATTTCTCTGTGTAGCTCTTGGATGCCCTGGAACTCAAGAAATCTATCTGCCTCTGCCTGTGCTATTTAAGGCATGAGACATCATGCCCAACTGGAAAAATAAATCGTTTTAAAACATAAAATTAAAAACATGGATAGGCAAATACTCTTTGAGACCCTGCTTTTATTCCTTTTGGGTTTACACCCAGCAGTGAATTTGCTCAACTACGGAAAATCTGTTGTAATTGTTTAAAAAAGTAAGAAAGGAAAAAATTTTTTTTTGAACAGCCACTACATTGTTTTCCAGAGTAGCTTCATCATTTATATTTCCTCTGGATTTGTACAGCGTTTCAATTTCTCCACATCCTTGTCAACCTATTTGGTAAGGGGGATGCTAGTGGACTTCAAGATTTTTTTTTTAATAGACTGCTGAATAGCAAAGTGGTTCCCCTACCCCCAAGTTTCTTTTTTTCCCCCCTTTTATTGAAAATAGCTTTTCTCTCCCCTCACATAATAATATCCTAACTACAGTTTCCCCTCCCTCTACTCCTCTATTCCAAGCTGTTTTGCTTGTTTGGTTTGGGGATTTGGGGTTTTGTTTTTTGAGACAGGATTTCTCTTTGTATCCCTGGCTATCCTGGAACTCACTCTGTAGCCTAGGCTGGTCTGGAACTCAAGAAACCCACCTGTCTCTGCCTCTGGAATGCTGGGATTAAAGACATGCACCACCACCACCTGGCAAAATGCTTTATTGTGGGCTCTTTATTTTTTGTTTGTTTGTTTGTTTGATTTTGGTTTTTGAAGACAGTTTCTCTTTCTCTGTGGTCTCCCAGCTCTTAATAGCAGCTGCTTTAGCAATTTAAGCCTAGTATGAGATAGTATTTCATTTGCTTATTGGATATCTGTATCTTAAAAAAAAAAAAAAATCTCTAAGTTCCATGACCCTTTTTGTGGCTGTGTTTGGCTTTTTATTTATTTATTTATTTATTTATTTTGGTTTTTCGAGACAGGGTTTCTCTGTGTAGCTTTGCGCCTTTCCTGGATCTCGCGCTGTAGACCAGGCTGGCCTCGAACTCACAGAGATCCGCCTGGCTCTGCCTCCCGAGTGCTGGGATTAAAGGCGTGCGCCACCACCGCCAGGCTGTGTTTGGCTTTTTTGAGACAAGGTCCTACTGCATAGTATTGGCTGGCTGGAGTTTACTGCCCTTGGTGACCAACTCTGTTGGTTGTGTCCTTTGCTGTTTAGTTAAGACATGCTTGTTCTGTTTTTCGTTTTTACAGTGCTAAGCAGACCAAGGGTATTACATGTGCCTTGCATTTTTGTTTCTTGTGTTCTTATCCTAGCCAAGTTGCCAGATCCAGCATAATAAAAATTCCCTTAGGTTTTCCATGAAGAAATATCTATCTACCTTCCCTCCCTTCCACCTCTCCCTCTCTCCTCCCTTCATTTAGCCTATTTATTTTATATAGTGTTAGGAGATATCTTTCTTTTGAAGTAACTATTTGGTTTTCTTTACAACATTTATTCAAATGACTATTCTTTCTCTTTTAATGGTCTTAGCACCTTTGTCAAGAAATATTTGACCATATACATGAGGATTTTTTTGCTTCTAGGCTCTCTATTTCATTGATCCGTATGTCTGACTTTATGCCAGTATCATGTTATTTTGATTACTGTGACAATATCATAAATTTTTTTTTTTTTTTTTTTTTTTGGTTTTTCGAGACAGGGTTTCTCTGTGTAGCTTTGCGCCTTTCCTGGAACTCACTTGGTAGCCCAGGCTGGCCTCGAACTCACAGAGATCCGCCTGGCTCTGCCTCCCGAGTGCTGGGATAAAAGGCGTGCGCCACCACCGCCGGCAATATCATAAATTTTTGAAACCAGAAATTATGAGACCTCCAATTTTGTTGTCCCTTTTCAAGACTGTTTTGGGCATTTGGAGTACTTGAGATTCCATGTGAATTGTAGGAATCTTTGTTTCTGTATTAATGTTGCAGTTTTGATGGTTACTTACTTACTCAGTAGACTTCCTTGGGTGTTACTGATGTGATAACTTAACAGTATTAAGTCTCTGAGCTGGGTGTGGTGGCTTATGTCTGTAATCCTAGCACTGGGAAGGTGAAGTACAAAGGTGACAGATGTCCTCAGCCACATAAGGAGTTCAGGGCCAACCTGAACTACACGAGACTGTCTCAAAAGGGGATGGGGGGCGCTGGAGCAGAAGGATCACTCTGAGTTCAAGGCCTACCTGGGCTATATAGTTTCAGGTCACCCTGTACTATAATGTGAGATTTTTGTCTTAGCTAAAAGTTGGAGAGAGAAAGAGAGAGAGCTGTTAT